TTCCTTGTTCTTCTCCTTGTCTTTTTTTTTCCTTTCGCTTGTATATAATGGGATATGCTTCTTCTGTTTTGGGGCCAGAGGGAGAAGGGGGACATGTCTGGGTGGTGCATAATGTATACTTGTTACATCTGAGTTAAGAATATATACATAATGTTAGTAGTCATGTATTACTCTTCTTTCCATTGAATTTACCTCGTGTCTCTTGACAGGACTTTTGTGTAGTATAGATAATCCTAGGACGTCGAAAAAAACCAGACATGGGAACACTTTGCCTAACAACAAACATGACTCCAATGCTTTAATACTCTAAGCTGTCTACGTACGTAGTTACACACTATGCCGCCCCACGCTTGACTTGCACCAGGCATTTCGTAATCTCAAATCAAACACACCATGCACACGAAAAAAAAACGCAAAAAAGAAGAGAAACCGAAAAACGTAACAGGCCCTGGCACGAGTATACCCGCTCTTGCAAACACAAGGGCACAAAAAGATTATGCCATACGTACGGTACATAAATCATGTCCTTACTTTCGTATGCCTTGCTGAAAAAAAAAGAGTCTTCCTCTTCCCTCATCAGCTACACCAACTCGACAAGATGGAAACTACCCATGAGTTCCGTAGACAGTGGTCGTAGGATGAACTTCCTCTCCCTCCTCACCCTTGGCCCTTGATGTCTGCCAGCCCATGTGTCCAGGCGCTGCGCCCGCACTCTGCCACCACGTGCTACTGTATCCATCCTGTCCATGATGCTCGCGGTGCCCGTGATGTCCATCGTGTGCATCTGAAGGGTACCCCACACCGTCTGTTGGCGCGACATAGGCTTGTCGGGGTGCGTACGAGTGCTCGTGCTGGTTGTTTGGAGCAGAGTACACGTTTGATGCAACACCCGTGTTGAAGCCGTTGACGTGGCTGGAACGCCAGTCTTCGCTCATCCTGAAACCATCGCGTACTAGACGGTTATCTATGTTGGTGCTATCGTGTAGGACACTTTCCAGGACCATGGGGCCTATTTGTTGATAACTGTGGCGGGGCAGGATGGGGCCAGACATACCGGGCATGGCTAGCGTGTAGTGTCAGACTATGCTCAAAATAGAATCTAAGATGATCTACTTACGGTTCCAAAACATGGACTCTGCCGTGTCTGTGGTGGGTGATGTTATTGAGGCAGATATGTTGGTGGCCGACGACATGGGCTGCGCGTACTGGTACGGAAGCGATATGTTGGAGTTATAATTGCTTTGGATAGGCTCGTGCCCAACTACGGGCGATACGTGGCGTTGGGTAGATACCACACTGCTCGGTCTCGAGTGTGCGGGGTGTGTAGCCAAATGCATCATATTTTGAGGGGCAAACATTGACAAACTCTCTCGTCGTTGAGATTGAGCGGAATGGACCGTCCCAGGCCCTGCATTACCACTACTGGCTGTAGAGTTCGGTATCATTAGAGGGGCATCTGCTGGAGGACTCATGTGCCGATGGGAACTTTCTGAGTCGTTCTTCGGTAGCAATATTGAATTGCTGAATTCTTCCGGAAACGGCAGGTTCCAAGTCTTTGACAAATTATGTATGATTCGGAAGGCCCTTGCACTAAAGTAGTGGCATTCGTGAACATCTTCAAGACCTTGTAATCCCTCGACGAGATTTTGCCGAGACACCTGGTTTTCTTTGGAATAGAGCAGATGTATTGTGCAGACAGTTAATAGCACATGTGTAATAATCAAATGCGCTTGCCGGAAGTTGTACAATTGCCGATGAATCCTGAAAATTCTGGACACGTTGTTGGCTGCGTCAATACAGATGTCACGCGGGCGGATGTCGGATTGGATGAGGTCGACCTTGAGTAATGGCCGAAAGAGGTGAATGATAATTGTGTAGTAGAACATGCTATGTGCTTTGTTAACTTTCGGACAACTCCAAGAGAGAGAGAAAAACATAGAGGGCTGTTGGACATACTGTAATGTCAGAATGTGTGGTTGTGGTTCTTTGTTGCCCTCGATTCCCAAAGAGACTGGCAGTTTTCTGTACCAGGCTTGATATTTGTAGTAACAGTCAAGAAGTTTTTGGCTAGTAAGCCGCTCTTTTGGAGCAAAGAACATATGGTTGTTGTCATTGATGAGTTCTGAAAGCGTTGAGAGCTCTTGTAGGAACATGCGAGAGGTTACAACACCGCTACAGGTGTGTGAAGTACCAGGAAACGCTTCTGGGCCGCTTGTTGTCTCGTCAAGAATAGGCTTTTGGAGTGTGATTGCAGATCGGGGGATTTGGGAGATTCGACCTGTAGCGATTGTCCACACACTTTTTTTTGCATTAGCCAACATAACCGTGATGTCTGTGAGAATATACGTACTTTTCTACGGTAAAGCAGCCCCAGAAAGTAACTTTCCGAACCTCGACTTCGCTGGGTGTCAAACCAAGCACATTTTCTACACCGTAATCCAAATGCAACCCGAGTTCGACACACATGCGTATGCATCGCCCAATGTAGGAGAAACCAGAGCTGTCTCTTCCTGTGCTGGGCTCACGAAGTGACATGACACAAAGCGCCTGTACTGTCGTGAGACTCGGGGTTTCATCCTCAAATAACAACCGCCTAGCTTCGTCGAAGAAATGATCTCCTGCCGTGCGGAAGTCGGATGGATCAGTACGACCAGCGGGGTCGTCTGTCATGTGGCAAGCATATGCGCATATGGCATTGACGAGCAGGGAGCAGCAGTACTTGTCGCGGCCAGCTCTGAAATCTTTGTAGAAACACTCTCGGCTGAAGAGGACGTAAAATGGATGGCTCCATGTGAAGTAGAGGTCGAGTAGTCTCTCGACAAAAGATAGATCGTCAGTAACATTTGTCCACGTTGATCCCTGGCGCTGTGGTTGGACACTGCTGATACGAAGCTGTCCGCCGCTGAAATTTTCTTCTTCACGGACGAGGCTCAGGCTGGCAGAGTGTCCAAAGTGCCGGCTTTGGCCAGAGAGGGTTACAGCGGGCTTGCCGAGTAGTACACTGAAATCAGATTCAAGGCTTTGGCTCTCCGTGGGCGTGACGGGGGTCAGGGTTACGTTCTTGCGCCATGTCTCTGCCAGGGCTTCGTTGTCAAGGTCAGGGTTGCCTCGAATGAGCTGAACAAGCTCGCTGACGTGATCCTCTGGCAGCTTCCGGAGGCAGTCAAGGATAAAATCCGCATTGGAAGGGCCCCCAAGGGTGAGGCTGGTGACGGAGGAAGCATCGCGCTTGGTTCCTGCGTTGTTGGAGGTTGCCTGTCCGGCTTTGGTCCGCCGGCTCTCGCTTTCAGCGTCGTAGTGGCAATCAGTCTTGTAGACGGCTGTGCAGGTTGCGCAGACGGGCGTGCCGCCGTCACACTGTGGATAAACGTGTCAGCAAGGGAGCAAACCGCAAGGCTCTGACAGGTGGCCAGACATAATCTTGTCAGTGTCACGATGCGTGGAGCAGTCCGCGGAGGCAAATATCGACGGATGAAGCTATGCCCCTGTTTATTGTTACGAGGTTGTGCATCGAGAAGTTACTTACTTTGGACTTGCGTTTACGACATGGGACACAGGCAGATTGCACGCAGCGACGCTTAGTTGTCTTTGTGTCTTGAGAGTGAGCGTGGTCCTGGCTGTCTCTGGCAGAGGAAGTGGCAGTGGGCCCGCGAGGCATTGTTGGTCAGCGAGCAGGAAAGAATGTCAGTCCACACGGGGCTCCGAGGGCGGATCTAGTTATGACATTGTCTGAGTTGAGCTGGAGAAGTATGTAACACAGGAGATCAGCCACTTGGAGGGAGAGCGAGAAGAGGCGATGACCAATTAGGTAGTTGTGACGTTTGAGGGCCTGTTGCGGCATCCAACGTGCCTCCCCTGGGAGTGCCTTGGCGGATGGGATATAAGATACAGTTACATGTGTGGATTTTATGGCCGGGTGGCGGGCAGGGATGGGCCAGCACCAGGTGGGCGAGGAAGAGGGTCGCTGAGGCTAGCAGCATGGCCAGACGGGCAAGGACAGGATGTTGTGCAGTAGCCAAGCGGCGAACAGGGCAAGGAACATGGCAAAGTTGCACGCAAGTGGGAATTCGAATCGAGAGGCTAGAATGCCATGAGCCCCCCCCCGTCAGCTGATCGCCCCGTTGGCGCGCCCTTGGAGCCCGAGCCCGTCGCCAGCCTTTCGCGGATATGGGAGCGACGCGATACCGGAATCGACGTCGCAGGCCAAGGGGGGCCACATCGGGCCATCGAGTGGGGGCGCCTGGGGGGAAGTTTTGCTCTGCTGTACTTACGTATAGCCTCAGGTGGTGGACGAGCAGAGATTTTTTCTGAGCGTTGTGGTCGCAGCTCCTCCGCACGCAGGCGTGAACTGCTGCTCCTACTAGCTTCGGCACGCTACGCCGAGCGAGTGCCGTGGCAATGAGGAGGGCCTCGCCGCCATGCCGCGGCAACAGACGGCCTGGTTCCACTGCCGCGCTGCCACGGCCGACTTGCGAGGACAGCACGGCGGATGGCAGCATTCAGCATTGGTGGCAGCAGAAAAGTATGTATGTACGAGAGTAGCTTGTTTGAGGCCAAAGATGGATGGGCCAGACGTGCGACGGCGACGTTCGTGGCCAAGGTCACGCTGGCGCATGCAAGCGAGCTCACTGCCCGCCGCTGATTGGCGGACCGCCACCCGGTGGCTGAGTGCCGGTTATGGTGCTGGCATAGTGCCTCTACTTGCGCCTCCGCTCCTCGGCCGCGACCGTCACTCCATCCCAACCTCACACAATAGCAGCTGCTCAACTACCCACCGCCCGTCCCAGACTGAGACGTCGCGGCCGCTAGCTAGTTCGCCCACCCATTACCATGGTTGCATGCACCGCTATCTCCAGCCGTAGGCCCCCCTTCCAGCCCCAGCAACAGCCGCACCAGCACCCGCACTCGCACCCGCACACTGTCTATGCTATCCCTTCGATTGGTAATCTCACCACCCGAAATTCGTGTCTAGAGTACATGTAGCCGCCCCTCTGCCACGCCTACTCCTCGCCCCCGCCCTGCATCTGTACCGGCACCACACCCTTGATCGCCGGCAACAGGCTCCGAGCGCCCTGTCGTGCCTGTTGCGCCAGCACTGCATCCATGATCACCAGTGCTGCCATGCTCTCCACGATGGGCACGGCACGGGGCACCACGCATGGATCGTGTCTGCCCTTTGCCTCCAGCACACCGTCCTCCTGGTCGTATGTTACAGTCGACTGGGCTTGCCCGATGGTTGCCGCGGGCTTGAACGCCACATTAAAGTAGATGGGTGCCCCATTGCTGATGCCTCCTTGGATGCCTCCCGAGTTGTTTGTCTTGGTGGTGAGCTTGGGCTTCGAGCGGAACACCTTTGCAGACGGATTCTCCCCCGCGGGCACTGCGGGCGCCTTGATGAATGGGTCATTGTGGATCGACCCGGGCACCTGTGCCCCTCCAAAACCAGATCCAATTTCAAATCCCTTAGTCGCTGGAATCGACAGCATGGCGTGCCCCAGCTTTGCCTCGAGCTTGTCGAAGCATGGCTCTCCCAGACCTGTTGGGCAGTTCCTGATGACACAGGCCACTGTACCACCAATGCTGTCCTGCGCGTCTCTGTACTTGGCAATCAAGTCTTCCATGCGCCTGGTAACCTCGTCGCTCGGGCATCGTACTGGTAGGTACTCATCCACCTTCTCCCGTGTAATGGTGTCGACGAGTTTGAGGAACTCTGGGTTTGTGGATGCTGTTGGATGCTCGGGCGTAGGGGGGAACAGGAACTCGTTTCCAATCGAGTTTGTGAATGCAACTATTTCGATACCGTAGGCTTCACGTAAGTACTTTTCTGCAATCGCGCCAGCCGCTACCCGTCCTGTATTATGTCAGCCGCAATGCGCCCTGAACGTGCAATCGACCACGTACCAATAGTCTCACGAGCACTACTCCGGCCACCTCCAGAGCTAGCCTTTACTCCGTACTTCTCCAGGTACGTCCAGTCGGCATGGCTTGGTCGTGGGTACTTGTCCATTGTCTGGTTGCCGTAGTCTTGCTTGCGCTGGTTCTCGTTCATGACCCTTATGCCAATCGGCGTGCCCAATGTGATGCCAAACTCTGTGCCAGACTGTATCTCAACCCGGTCCTTTTCATTGCGTGGGGTGGTGATGGCTGACTGGCCCGGTCGGCGGCGCGTCATCTGGGGTTGGATGTCCGCCTCTGTGAGCGCCATGCCGGGTGGGCAGCCGTCGATGATGGCTCCAACCGACAGGCAGTGGGATTCGCCATAGCTTTCACGAGTTCAGTATGTGCGCCTTGTGTATGTAGGGTGAATGCGTACGTGGTGACCCGGAAATGTGTTCCGAACGTGGACATGGTGGCTTCAGCGGAGGGGTACCAGTTCGACTGCTGGGTGTGCGGACGGGGCTTGATATGAGAAAACAAGGGGAAGATGTGATCAATGTACACAGAAGCTGACTGAGGGGTGTGTAAGGTTTGCGTGCGTGTAGAGTTTATTGCAAGTCGGGCCAAACGCGTGCGCTAGAACGACCAACGTCAGAGTCACTCTAGGAGTTTTATTTTAGTGGAGCGCGGAGCAGGGTCGTCTGGGTTTCCGAAGTCGGCCGCCGATGGTAAGGCTGCTTTGACTAGAGCCATGTTGCTTCCCCATCGAACGCCTTCAGGCACAACAACAAAAGTCAGTCAAGGTCAAGAGAGGATAGGATGAATTATGGAGACATGCTTGAGGGGAGCGTTGATTGTGTGATTGGGTAACATGTTGCAATACCATTGGATGGGTTCGGGACAGGTGCCTGGTATGGCTGTAATCATGTGCTCAAAGCCAGAAGCAGGCAATAACGTCTTCTGTCCATAAGTACATACAGTAACACAAGGCACGGCAAATGCCGTGTTTCCATCCCAGACATGAGTGACAATGTCGAGCCATGGATGACGAATGTTGTCATAATCACGTGATTGGCCAGCCAGCATACACCAAGTATGAGTATTTATGAACACAACTACATATGTACGTAAGCATGTGTTGTTCTTGCATTGTTCCATGCTTGTGGGCAGGGGAGGGCTGGCGAGTGATCAGGTGGGGTCCAGCAATTGGAAGGTCAATGCCATAAGGGGCCAATCGTACAGCTAGACATAGCTGCTAGAATGGCGTCAGATACCTCCCATCGTCGCTGAATTAAAAGGCAGAATGCCCGCCATGCAAGGCACAGCGCCATGACGGCAACGGGTGAAGCTGCTAAAGGCGCTGCCGAGTTCCAGTGCCGTGAGCCAGAGCGACAATGAGCCTCAGATGCGCGCACGTTGGCGACCAAGTGGCAGGCTGTGGCAGGCACGAAGATCGCCCGGGATCTTAGCGCGGACCCTTGCCGTGACCTCTCAAGAAGTTTTGCGCCTGGCCAGCAACACCACCCCCAAAACACCCCTCTATTCTTCCAATTGCATCCCAAACAAGCCGCCATCATGCCCGAGTACGTCAAGGTTGAGAGCATCATCCCCAAGGTCCCCCCGCCGGCCTTCAGCGACATCGCAAAGGCCTCCAACGACGTATGTTTTGGTTCCCCCACGACGAGCTTCACAATAGCGCCATTGCTAACCCGCACCCCCTCTAGCTCATCAACAAGGACTTCTACCACACTGCTGCAGGTCAGACACTCCCATTGACTCTGCGCGCCCATCTGCTAACCCCTCACCAGCTGCCCTCGAGGTCAAGCTCAAGGCCCCCAACGGTGTTAACTTCACTGCCAAGGGTACCTCTGCCCACGATGGCCCCGTCACCTCCTCTGTCAGTACACTGCCATCAATCGCTAAAGGATGCAATTCGCTGACAGAACCTACAGCTCGAGGGAAAGAAGTCGCTCTCCAACGGTACGGCAATAACTCGTTCATTTTTCCCCCGCTCTTTCAGCCTAAGCATACCTTTTCATTCATCACCCGGCTTTCACTCGTACATGTTTCACTCGGCGCAGCCTCCAGGAATCTGGGGCTCGTCCATTACAGGCTACGGACTCAATTGGCTGACGACAAACCGTACAGGCATCAGCATCACCCAGTCATGGAACACTGCCAACCTGCTGGCTACCAAGGTTGAGCTCAACGACACCTTCGCTAGCGGCTTGAAGACTGAGGTCCTCTCCAACTTCAGCCCCGCGGCTGGTAACAAGGGCCAAAAGGTCAACCTTCACTTCAAGCAACCTGCCTTCCACGGCCGTGCTTTCGTCGACTATTCTGCTGCTGGCGCTATTGGCACCACCGCTGATGCTGTCGTTAGCCACGAGGGCATGGTTGTTGGTGGTGAGGTTGGTTACGATGTCCAGAAGGCTGCCATCACCAAGTACTCGGCTGCCGTTGGATACACCACTCCTCTCTACAATGCCGCTGTCACTGCCACCAACTCCCTGAGCGTCTTCACTGCTTCTTACTACCAGCGCGTCAACCCCGCTGTCGAGGCCGGTGCTCGCGCAGTCTGGGACTCAAAGTCCGGCAACAACGTCGGCCTTGAGCTTGCCGCCAAGTACAAGCTTGACCCTCTGTCCTTCGCTAAGGTACGCCTTGGTCCCTGACATTCACATGGATATGTATGCTAAACCCTTCTAGGCCAAGATCAACAACCTCGGCATTGCTTCCCTCGCCTACAACACCAAGGTCAACAGCGGTCTGACCTTTGGCATTGGTGGCTCTTTCGATACCCAGAAGCTCAACGAGGCCGGTCACAAGCTCGGCACCAGCTTCACTTTTGAGGGTTAAGCGTCTCTCCGGGATGCTCCTGTAGTAGATCGCAGGATGAAGAAAAATGGACAGAGCCTTTGATTTGCTTTGGTTCTCGCGAAGCAGTACCATATGAATATAGTCTAGAAATAAGACTAGTAGTCTTGTGCTTTATGCAGTGGGATAATCTTCTTCAATGCAAGCCTTTCAAGACTGTGTACATACATGTATTCTGAATGATTAAATATGGACTAGGTGACATGTGATTTTATAGATGTGCATGTTTCGATTGATTTCCGGAAAGTTTCTAGAATCAGATCTCTCACTAGTAGAGACGGGAGGCACCGCTACTAGTAGTTCCCCACATGTTGGGAAACAGGACTTGTGGAGATGCCGATGCACCTGCAGGGCATGACCTGACATGACACCACGTATAAAAGTTACCAGGCACCTGGTCTTGGGCTACTGCAACAGGTCAGGGGCACGTAATGCAGGGCTGTACTCTGGCCTTGGGTCGATCTCCCTTAAAGACGCGAAGAGCGTTTACAAAATGGGTCTAGTGTGCTCCGATTTCTAAGGTAGCGTAGTGTAAACGATATCTATGTGATGTATCAATCAGGTGGTTTCTTTCCTCTTGGTAGTAGTAGTATGCCCATCGTGGCGATCACCAAAAATGTTTGCCGTCAGCCCAGCGAGCGCAATAACGCCCGACACCATGATAAAGTTGGCGAGCATATTGCCCTTTTCCCACTCTTGTTCCACTTTGACTGTCCCATGCATCTTTCTCCGTCGGGCCCATATGTGTTCTTGTACATTTTCGTGCATCTCTCTATGCTGCTGGTCGTTAAAGTGCGGGACCGCATTACCCTGGCTCTGCTGGCCAGGCCCAAAGCCGCCATAGTCGCCGTAGCTTTCCTGGCCTGCGTCCTTGGCATTTGCCCCTTCTGAATGCGGGCTCGAATATGCGTATTCGGCTCTCTTCGCGCCGTGTCTCCCGTAGCCCCCTGATTTGTAAAACGATGGTGGAGGGCCTCGGAAGGTGCTGCGTTTCTTGTTTAGCCCGCTCGCTGGGCGGGACCCGAATGCGGCCGAGCTATAACTCCCTTGGGGAATGTCGTTGCCACCCTTGCCCCAGCGCGATTGTCGCTGCGCAGACTCCAGCTGCGCATCGTACTGTGCACGCTTTTCGGGGACAGAAAGCACATGGTATGCTTCACTTATCGCGACAAAGCGTGTGGAGGCGTCGGGATCATTGCGGTTATGGTCTGGGTGGTTTTTCTTGGACAATGTGTAGAACTGGCGTTTAATCTCAGATGCAGAAGCGCTCGATGTTAAGTGCAGCGTTTCATAATGGTTTTTCAGCGAATCGGCACATCGTGGGGTCGAAGCATGGAAGTGAGAGATTTGTTGTATGCGCCGCGGAGGTGCAAGTACTGTGCGACGGAGACATGAGTGGCAGACGTATGGCACGCTGAAGGTCGCTGGCAGAGGAGTCAAGAGTGAAGCGAATGGTCGCAGGAGAACAGATGGGCGGGGTGGCATTGCCCGAGAACAGCATGAAAAAGGGTTACATTAAAAGTTGGTGGTTGAGTGAATGTACGCGGTGCATAGAGAACGTCATCGCCCGTCACGAGGCTAGCACAGGGTCGGATTAGTCTGCAGCGACTCCGAGCCATCGGGCAACTTAGCGGGGGCGTTACAAGGCCCTCGTAAATTTCAAGATCACCCGCAATCCTAGCACCACTCTTCTCGTTGCACAGTCAACATGGCCGCAAAGGTAGCAGACGATGTCGCCAACCTAAAGCGTATGTTTTCATAGAGATTATGGCTATACATCGCCACAGCGACTAATGACGTATAGTGGACGACTCTCAGAGCAAGCCAGCCAACGGCGCGGCGCCAAATAGCGACAAGCCCACGGCCGACGCAGAACACGAAGACTCGGACGATGACAACGAAGCCGAGGACGGTGCACTAGAGGCCGGTGAAGGAGCAGCAAAGAAGAAGAAGAAGAGAAAGCCTAGAAAGAAGAAGAAGGCTGGTGCTGCAGGTGCGGGCGGACCCAAGGTGCAGACGGCACCGCCTCGAGTCCGTGTCGACGAGCTCTTCCCCAACGACTCATATCCAGAGGGTGAAATTCAGGAATACGTCAACGAGAACTCGTATCGAACCACCAACGAAGAGAAACGCCACCTCGACCGCATGAACAATGACTTCCTTACCGAATACCGCAAGGGTGCAGAGATCCACCGTCAAGTACGACAGTGGGCGCAGGGATGGATCAAGCCTGGCATGTCGCTGACTGAAATTGCCGAGGGCATCGAAGACTCAGTCCGCGCTCTGACAGGACATCAAGGCCTTGAGGATGGAGATGCGTTGAAAGCGGGCATGGGTTTCCCTACTGGTCTCAGCATAAACCACTGTGCCGCCCACTATACACCAAACGCAGGCAACAAAATGGTCCTCAACTACGAGGATGTCATGAAGGTCGATTTCGGTGTCCACATCAATGGTCGTATTGTCGACAGTGCCTTTACCCTGACGTTTGATCCCGTCTACGACAACCTTATCAACGCGTGCAAGGCCGCTACAAATGCCGGTATCAAAGAGGCCGGTATCGATGTCCGTATGAGCGACATTGGTGCTGCTATCCAGGAAGTCATGGAGAGCTACGAGGTAGAAATCAAGGGCCAGATGCTGCCCGTAAAGTGTATCAGGAACCTGAACGGACACTCCATTGGCCACTTTACCATTCACGGAGGAAAGACGGTACCTATCGTTAAGGGAGGCGACCAGACAAAGATGGAAGAAGGTGAAACTTTTGCCATTGAGACCTTTGGTAGCACAGGAAAGGGTTATGTCCGAGACGATGTAAGATTCCCCTCATTCTACATCCTAACAGCTCGCTAACAATTCTTCCTTCTGCAGATGGAAACCTCGCATTATGCCAAGATCGCTGATGCACCCAAAGTCGCTCTTCGCGTCTCGTCAGCAAAGACGCTACTCAACTCTATCACCAAGAATTTTGGCACCCTGCCTTTCTGCAGGAGATATCTTGATCGCTTGGGTCACGACAAGTATCTTTTGGGTTTGAATAACTTGGTTAGCGCAGGTATTGTAGAGGCGTATCCTCCACTGTGCGATATCAAGGGAAGTTATACCGCACAGAGTGAACACGTAAGTCCTGATACTAACACCCGTACACTGGAATGTGCAAGCTAATACGGTGTAGACGTTTGTCTTAAGACCAACGTGCAAGGAGGTGCTGAGCCGCGGTGACGACTACTAAGCGACGCATCTTTACGAGCAAAAACAAAACATCTGAAGGGAGGATGGGCATATCAGGTTTTGAGAAATAGGAGAGAGCTACAATGGAAAGTAAGCGCAACGACGAAATATCATCACTAGGCATAGTTTGATTTCGTCTTCTCCAAAGAAAAAGAAAAAATAGCATGATCAGGATTCTGTGTAAACACTCGATTAAGAATAGAGTGGAAATGAAAAAGAATATTCACCAATTTTAGGAATGGCGAGTAGTGCGTGTTAGATGCGGGGCGTCATGCTTGTACTTTTGCTTTTTCTACGACTTATTGGTTGTGGTGAGAAGACGCACGTTTGCAAGATATGCTCCATATTATATTCTCATTTCATCTAAATTTATTATTATTATTATTATTATTATTAAAGTAGCTGTAGAAGTAGCTAGTATCTCTTCTATCTCACCTAACCAATCTCCAATGTTCTGTCTCAATCATGTCATACCCTCTTGATGCGAAAAGCCTCCGGGCTAGACTCATCAACACAGTCTGACTGCACAAGCAGTTCGTAAAAGCCTCTATGCAGCCTCTGCACCGCCCCCGAACCACCCGTCTTCTGCTTGCTCGCAAGCATAATCTGAACCATGGGCCTAACCGTATGCCAAAGATGAAATACACTCAACTCCGGCTTCCGGCACACGTCCATCAAAGCTACATTCCGCTTATACAGCGTCCAACCCGACGCTGTCCCCTTGTCCGTTTTCTCCTGGCACAAAGCATACCCGCTCTCCCACATACCAGGCAGGCGCAACTCGCCCTGCCTATACAAGTCTTCAAAATGATCCCATATTCCTGTCGACGACCACATGTCAACCCACCAGTACGGCACCACGACGCACATTTTCGAAAACGACAATGCTGCAGCGCCGAGATTGTGTGGTTTGTAGAATGTGGTGAAGAAGCCCGGGCGATCTAGGGTCCAGATGCTGCCGCCGAAGACGTAGAGTTCCCAGGAATGACCTAGTTCGGCAAGGTGCTCTGAGGCTTGGTGGAGGGGCTCGATGGAATCGGTTTCGGGTGCCCTGTTGTTCACATCAGCATAACTTTCTTTGTTGTTTCAAGGAGGAAGACTTTGTGCTATGTGCTTTGTTTGGGAAGAAAAAAAACTTACCAAGGCTTGACTTCCCTGCTAAGACGGTATTGCCACACGATGTGCGCGAGTTCATGACATAGCGTGATTGCGAGTTGTAGATATAGCGTTTTTAGTTCGTGAGCGGAGCCGCCGTGGCTCAAGAGGTACTTGAGACTGAACAAGTACTGGGTGTGCAGGATGATGCGTGGAGTGTCGAAGAAGGGGTATGCAGCCGCCAGTATGAGGCTGTGGCGGAATCGTATGTACGCTGCGGTGCTGCCGAATGCGCAGCCATCTATGCGTGCCATGCTTTTGTCGAGGTTTTCGAATCCGATTTCTAATACGTAAGGCAGTTTTTTGGTGAAGAAGACGTGTAGCTCGCTGTCTGCATCGTCGCTGCTTTCGTAGGGCGTGTTTGCTAAGTAGCGTCTGCGGAATTTGTCGACTTCCACTCGACCGAATAGAGTGTGCTTCCACCATTTTAGAATTGCGGGCTCGGTCATCAATTTTGTGGCGATTCGGAGGGCGGGAAGTAGTAGGGTGTAGTCTTCTCGTTTGAGGTCTGGCCATCTTCTGCTCTGGAAAAGAGGGTGGATATTATTGTCGAGATCAATCTTTGGGAGACGAATTATCCTGCTTAGTTTTCCTCGCCAGCCATATGGTATATCTCCAGAAGTAATTCTAGGGCTTTGAAGCGCTGGTAAGTAATCCAGATCAGCCCCTACATCTGCATTTAGATTTCTCAGGCATGCGCTAGGGGAAGACATGGTTATGGTGAGAGGAATTTATTCGGGAGAAGAACTAAGGGCTTCTTTTTCTCGTGAGTACGTTGTGGGAAGGCTCAAGGGAGGCTTGGGAAGTGCGAGAGTGGCTGCGTCTCAAGTAGTGGGAAGAATGACAAGGGGGAACTTCAGAAGTCTGGCCCCCAGTACGTCAGTTTTCTGAAGTACTGCCTCGAAATATAAGAAGGGCGTTTTCCAAAATATGTATTTCTTATTGACGTTTGTGATCCGGTGCCGTGGTTGTGCATCAACTCGTCTCCACTCATTGGCCCAGCGCACTGCTCAACCATAGTTCGTCAACCCTTCTTCTTCGTTATACGATACCTATTTCAATTAGTGAAAGCATGCCCCGTGTCTCTCGCAATTCTTACAGGAACAACTTTTCTCTCGAGTAGACGTCCTTGTCTGGGTCGTCGTCCACCTCCTGCACATCGAACATTTTCCGCGCCGTCTTCATAAAAGTCAGGTCTGCCCGTCTTCTTCGCTTGAAGCAAAAGTAGCACACGGTATTCTCGCCAATCAGATCCTTGAGTGTTTGCTGCAAGAGAGGGAAAGCCGGTTCAAAGTACACACAGTCGGCTGCGAGGATGATGTCCGGGTGAGATGGTAGCTGCGGTGGCGTTGGTTCACCCCAGTCGTACACTGATGCCTTGACACGTGACTCCAGACCATTGAGAGCGATATTGCGCTCCATAAGGTCAAACATGGGTATCTGATCGGTGATATGTAGCGGCTTGTCCACGTTACAACCTATTGCGACAGCTAGTCCAACGAGCCCTCCTCCTGCACCGAGTTCGACGATTTCCTTTCCAGCGACGTCATCGCGATGTTTCCGCAGCATGTACTTGCTCAGGACCATGCCTGCGGGCCACAACTGCCCACCACAGCCGTTCTTCAGATCTTCATGCAGGCTTAGTGGGGGTGATAACAGGCCGTCAAAATCGACTTTGGAGACCCCAGCAGATTTGATAGGCGCAGCAGGTACTAGGTCCTGGCTCACTGCGAAGCCGTCGAGTTCAAGCATTTTTTCGGAAGCCTGGGGGGAAAATAATGTTCTAGCAACGGAGAGGTGAAGTTGCCTATCTTTGTGGAGGCTCAAAACAAATTAGTGCGTTGGTGCGGCCCGCAGCGGCGGGACATGCGGGGGCGTTCAAGGCCCGTTGTAGCCTTATGTATACCATCCTGTCCCATCATTCTGGTCATTGGACCGTTCAAGCAACTGGATCTTATACTACATGCCGTTCCAGAATATCGATGATGCACCTTGTCGCAACCCCCAGAGATGCAGCCATCCGTACTTAGCATCGGCAAGTAATACGCCTCCGGCCGGCTATCTGCACCCGTCACGATCTCATTGCTTATCTTGTAATCACGGCTAAGATCTACCTCGCGCCTCGGCTCTACCAATTGAAGGTGCGTCCTAGCGAACTGCGTTGCACATGGAAAGCCACAATGCGAGGCATTTCTTGTGGGTGGAGTGGATACCAATAGCAGAACGCGCTCAGTCAAGGTGGCTTGCTCACATCTATTCTATTTAAATTCATGTCTCCCGCCTTCCTCAAAGCCACATCGTCACTACATTTCCCCAAGGAACCTCCCGGACAGTTCGTGGGCAACGCCATTCCCGAACCTAGAAGCCTACCATGGGTCTCCCAACAGAGGTCTTGCAGGCCTGGGATGCTTGCGACCGTACTGACACTCTTTTCGTACTGGTCTGCTCAGTCTTTTGTACGCTCGCATCTCATAACGGTAGATGGTATTTGCTGACCGAGAAAGGCTGGGGAATAATTCCGGCAGTAGGTATTGCATACAGCGGGTACACTACGCGCTCCAACTCTCTTGCGGCAATTATGCCTGCAATTCTCTCCGTTATCGTCTGCTCAATACAGTGGTTTCTGATCGGATACACGTTAACGTACGGAGAAGGGGGCGCCATCTTCGGAGGTTTCAAGTATGCACTCCACAAAGGTGTTTTGGCGGAGCCCGTGGGAACCATACCAGCAGTCCTCTTTAGCTTCTTTCAACTCGTCTTCCAGGCTACGGTGTGCGCAATTGCCGTCGGTGGTGCCTGTGAGAGAGGCCGCATACTGCCACTGATACCTTTTATTTTCGTAAGCCGAGTAATCTTTTGGAAATTCGATTAATATCCTGATCTGAGTAGTTGTGGTCAACATTCATATACAACCCCCTAGCACACATGGTCTGGGGCGGAGGCTTCCTCATGGATTTGGGCGTCCTGGACTTCGCCGGCGGAACACCGGTGCACATCAACTCCGGAGCAACAGCAACTGCCATGTCTGTTTACCTTTCTTATCCTCTGTTCCGCTCACGCAAATCATCTATACGAACACCATCGCACCTGGTCATCCATCGTCCGGTCAACTCACTCTGCCAGCTACTGGCTATGATTAGTATTTGGGGTTCATGGCTCGCTTTCGATGCTGGAACGACTCTTGCATTCAACTTCAAGTCAGTCATGGCACTTTGCGTTACGAACCTTTGCGCCGCCTCTGGTTCGCTGACGTGGATGCTGTATACGTACATGGAAGTCGGTCGCTGGAGTTTGGACTCTTGCTTTATGGGCGCCATCTCGGGGCTTATCATGATTACGCCCTCGGCTGGCTTTATTGATTTACCAACCGCTTTCTTCTTCGGCATCCTAGGCGCACTGGTCTGCCGTCAGGCACTCCGAATCAAGTTTACTGACTTTGCTCGACGCTGGCGCTGGGTAGACCATGGTGACACTTTTGCAACGCACTGCATTGGTGGTGTTCTGGCTACCATATCGACCGGCTGCTTTGCTCGAAAAGAAGTTGCGGGATATGATGGAGTGACCGAGATCGTTGGAGGCGTCTTCTTTGACGGTAATGCACGGCAACTGGGTATCCAGATTGTGGAAGCTCTTGTTGGATTCACCTGGTCGTTCATTGGAAGCTACATCATTTATGCACTTATTGATTGCGTTCCTGGCTTCGAGGTGTTGGCCGAGGACAAGTGAGTAGTGTCACGGAGCAGGAGACTATATTGCTGACATATACTAGGGACATCATCACAGGCTTGGACGCAAGCCAACTAGACGAGGAAACACTATGGACGGAGACGCAGAAATACTACCCTTATGCTGAACTCGAAGGTGAGCTGCACCTCGATTAAATACAGCGGGGGAGATTCGAATTGGTAATACATGATACAAATGGTGCAAAAGAAGAGAAAACATACTATGTCGATCAAACCAGACGAGAGTAGCCGAGATCACCAAGTGCCAAAGTTAAATTCCCATGTTTATTGCTGGGTACGACGGACACTATGTTTGTCCCAAGGTAGTGGAAATTACAGATGATACTATAAGAATACGAGGACACGTGCGCTGTACCAACTACCTGGTCCCAACTCACCGGCAAATCCACCGTCGAAATTAGATCGACAAGAAGACGGGTATTATTTTGCTCCCTTGACAAGGTTCGATATATCAACCCGTATATACATGCGTACACAAAACCCATCAACTATACACCCAAAACCAAATCTTTCCCCTCTACCCCGCTAAACACCCCAGGCTCCAAGCACACACCCCAACACTGTTATATAAAGCCAAAAAGAACCCCTTGATAAACATACAAGAGTCATCCGCCCAGCGAAAAAAAAAGAAGAAACAATAATAACAACACAAAACCCGATATCACCCCTCCAACGCCCTCAACCCCTCGACCAAAACCCCAAAACTCTTCACCCTCTCATGCCCCCTTGCCCCCATCTTCTCCTCCCTTACCACCTTCCCCTCCCCCTCCCCAAACCCCTCCTCCAACTGCCTCTCTACCTGCTCACGATCCAGTACCCTCCTCGCCTCCTCTAATCCGCCTATATCGCGCGCATTCGTAAACCCCATTTCCCTCAGCGTCTGCAGCGCAAGATTGGAGCGGCGCCCGCTGCGGCAGTAGAGCGTGATGCGGTCGTCTTTGGCGACTTGGATCCCCTTTTCAGCGTACACGGCGGGGAGTGTGGAAATGAGTTGGTATTCGATGTTCACAGTGGGGGAAAGGTCTGAAGTCAGGTAGCCGGTGGAGAATTCGCTTGGGGTGCGGACGTCGATGAGGAGGTTTTGGGGGGCCATTTTTCTTTATGTATTGTGTCTTTGCCTGGTTTTCCTTTTTTCTCTTTAATGTGTGGTATATCTGATCTTTGAGTGTGCGTGTGTATGTATGTTTTTCGTGGGATGAATAATGTAATGTATTTTATGTTGCGTGGTTGCTTGGTTTGGGGATGGAGAGAAAGATAGATGTTTGGTTGTGCTTCTCTTAAACAAGGTGAATGATGCTCGTCATCGGCGCGGGGAATTCGCGGAACCCCGAGAAGAGAGACTTCGCCGTACTCGGAGCGCGCTAGCTTTGTAGTCAGTATGTACATACACCACTACGTCTTTGTGCCCCGCCGTGCTGTGCAAAGACTTCTACCTCAAAATATAAGCGCTAGGAGGTTGGGGTGTATATTGCGGTGTTCAGAGCTCGTATGCATTAGTTCGGATAGACCATTGTGAGTGTAAAGACCCCGAATGACGGTGTACTCGGCGACTACCTAGCAGCCAAGGTATTCATAGTAGCACTGAAACCACATGCCCATCTTCACGATCCTTGTGTATCCACCTCAAAGCCGGTGTCATCACGTGTGCACCCATCACTTTTCAAAATAAGACTTTCTTTGATGATTTCTTTCATTTGCAAAAGTGCCGGCCAGATTGACTTCTGATGCCAGACACTATGGCTATAGGAAAACCCTTTTTCTCTTCCTGCATCTCCTGCTGTGATACTTTTCCCCTGCCACCACACTGACAGGCCGTTTGCTACGATAGCGGAATCTTCTCTCTTTTCAACGCCAAAAACCCAAGTTATTACAGGCTTTTCCAAGTCCAAATGGTTATGCAAAATGTAAGAAATATTGAGCAGATGATTGTAGTCTGCCACGAAAAAAAAAAAGACAATTGCCACCCAAAAAGAAAATCGCTGAAGTGGTATAAAACAAACAAAAGAGACTACGGCATTGGTATCGTGAGTGCCCGAGGCATGACGGACGAGAATAAAAGAAACAAAAAACACAAAAAAATTAACGTATGTGAATCAAAAGTGCCAGCCGGTATACATGTGAGCACCGAATCAATCTGGGAGGGGAGACCAGAGAGTACGGCCCACAAAAGAAAACACGCAATGAAGCGAAGTAAACAAGTCTAGGAACCCTTGAGGTTCGATGTCGAGAAGTTGAAGTTGAGAAACTCGAATTTGTCCTTCGAGGTGGTTCGGCTTTCAGCTGACAAGATGCTCTGAGCACTGTTGTCGATGGATGGCGAACCCCTTGTGGAATGCTGTGTGTCGCGCGGTTCGAGAAGCAATGAACGACGGTAGTAGTTTTGAACATTAGCTTGGTCGCTCACACGCATCCTTTGTATCTGGCTATCCATCCAGTCTTGCATTTCTGGGACGGCGGCTAACCGATAGGGGACTTGGAACGACTGCAGTTGGCAGATAATCTTCGCAGTCTTCATGTGCTTGTCGAAATTGATAACAGAGACGCTATCAGACCCAGGGTCGCCAGGGAGCTGTCGCGTAGTACCGTTACCAACATCGATGAATGTGAGATCTGTGAGGTAAATTCCGACGAAAGGAATGCACGGTGCAATGTGGTCTTGAAGACGCTGTCGCAGTACGGCGTAGTTACGTCCAACATCGGTGATTGCTTTCAACTCGTCCAAGCGAGCCTTGGTCTTTGTGGACACGAGGTCCCACGTCCGCTTGAGACGCATGATCATGGAAGAGTTAAGGGAGCAAATGATGGCCATCAGCGAGTCATAGTTGTGCAGCTCCAAGCACTTGGCTGCGATCTTAACCCACTGCTTGATTATGACTGCTCGCTTCTTGGCATCTTCAAGTTGCAAAATGGTATCAGCAACCAGGTTTGCCAGGTCGGTCGAAAGAGTTGACATGGCCTTGACGTTGTGTGCCTTGGAATCCTTCTTCTTGGTCCACTCGAGAGCAAGAAGCTCTTCTGGTTGAATAGCGCAAAAGAGCTTCGATTCAATAATGGTAAACTGTCTGGCAAGCTCCAAAGGATCAAAGTCCATGATGCTGCATTGCGCCTTTCCTTCTTTGCTAGCCCGGAGAGCATTGAGTTGGCTCTTGCTGACGAGTGGCGTTGGAACGTTGCTGTCGGCGGGTGTGAATGTAGCATTTGAGGCACCAGTCTTGCCAATCGACGACACCAAGCGAGGTACAAGGGCTCCAGCCCTCACTTCGGTGACCTTGGATGTCAATTCCGCTAGTCGTTTGCCGGCACCAGGCATAGCAGCTCGGAGTTTTCCAGTCGCAAATGCCAAGATCACGCCCAGGGCGGCACAATCAGTGTCGCTTGACCAGTGACTTTCAAGCCAGCCTTTGAAAACGTTGTAAACTCGAAGACGGACCGGTACACCTACGGTTTGGCTGCTGCCGATGTAGTCGAAGCGGTCAATCAGGCATTGTGCAAGTTCAATCGGTGTGGTGAAAAGGCGGAAGGTGAGATAGAAGGCGTTGACAAAGACAATGTCTGGTGTGGACTCGTACGTCGTCAGCTGCTCTACCAGGGCTGGGAGCGAACCGCCTGAGATCTGGCCATCCTTGTTGTAAACTAGCTCGTGGACGTACGTTGTCTCCAACAGGTGCTCCTCGCCAGCAGCAGCATCCTCGTTGGCCAACTGCTGAAGCTCAGAGCAACTACCAACGCTGCTGACCAAGGTTTGACAGCTTTGCTTCTTCGAAGGCGAGTGATCTGGGGTAGTGGCACGAGTCGAGACAAGAGACTCGACACTAACAGAGCCGTCTCGTGCACTGGAGTGATAAGTGCTAGCGCTGTCGGTGACGGATGCGATGACGCTTTCAGCAATCAGAGAGCCAGCGAGACTTTCCTGCGTAGCGCTTGCAGGACTCTCAGCCGACTCAGACAGTGTGGACGGATTCAATACCGGGGTGGGCACAGCATCGAGAGGCGGCAGAGATGCACGGGACGATCTGAAGGATACGACAGTCGGGCTTTCAACGACGACTGACTGAAGAGTTGGCTGTAGACTAATCCTTTGTTTTTCAATGGGCGAAGGGAGCGGTACTTCGGGCAAAGGCTTCGATTCGGAGACGACAGGTGGGAGAGGCTTCTCAGGCTCCTCGGTTGGCGGTGCTGGCAGTGGCTTGTTGGTCTCCATGACAGTTTCGTTAGGCTTAGGTGAGGCAGGCCTCTCAACTGTTGGCTGTTCTTGTTGCTCACTGGGGCTAGGTTCCTGGAATATCGATTTCTCTAGCCCCAAACCAGCAGCCTCAGTTTCAAACTCAAAGTCTCCAATCCTCTCGATCACAACTTTAGCCTTGGTGACACAGTCACCAGCGGCCCGTACACAGCTTGTGGCAGCCTTGACAATCTGCTTCCCAGCATCTGGCGCCACGACTTCTTCACCCTCTGCATCTGCCTGGATGAACATATCCTTGGTAGCTTGCACAAGTTCGGTCAGACGGGCGTACATGGCGTCTCGTGCTTCCTCGAGCGGGTTAGACCTTCGTGAGTCGCGTTCCCAAACTTCCTCAACAACTGCGAGGAGTTGGCGACAGGCGACGACGGAGTGTTTTGTGGTCTGAGCTAGCTCATCTGAAGAGCGCGATTGCAGGTGCAAACCGATAAAAGAGCCGATGAAGCCCAAAAAAGCGTCCTGAGCAGTGTTGAGCTTCTCAGAAGCGAGGTTTCCCCTGTGCGCATTGAACGACTTGCACGTGTATGACAAGCGGTGCGTCATAGAGGTGCGTTTCGACTGAAATCCGGATTGAGAATGTAGTATTGAGGATTGAACAGAGTCTGCTTCGGAGGGTAGGGAAAAGGCGACGGACAGGCGGTTGAAGTTTCGCGACGATTGGGCGGATCCAGTGTACCAGTCGTCCTGGGTCGATCCACTGGCCTGTGTGACTAGAGAATCGCAAGTATTCGCCGAGGCACTATCGTCGGTCGATGGGGCCGATGTTGTAATTGGTTCCACTGCAGCGTCCGAAGGCGGGGTGAGTGGTCGGTTGTCCACATCTTCTAGCTCAAACAGTGATAGAGAGACGGCATCTGTTGTCCAGATGTCAAGAAAGCGAACTGCTCTGGTGACGAGCTTGAACGATTTGAACACAAGCTCATCCATGTGCTCAAATACTGGGAGGGGTAGCTCGTTTGACTGTAAAGCCTCCTGAAAGGACTTTGCCGTCTTGACGAGGGTAGAGAGATCGCCCAACAGGGCTTTGCGCATACGACGCAAACCTACATGGGCCAGAACGAGCCGCGAATCTTTTTGTAGACACTCGGTTCTTTCCTGATGAGAGTTAGCGGGAAGGCCAAAGATGAAAACATGGATGCACTGAATGAGCCCGACTTACAAGGAAAAGGCGTACGCCGACGATCATGCCTCGGACGTAGTCTTGCCTCGAAAAGGCCGCTAGATCGCCATTCTCTCCGTCGCGGACAAGATCCCAGATGTATGTGAGAGCAGTCAGCAGATTTCGAATAATGGGATGGTCATAGGGCTCGCAGTAGTTGGTCGGGAGCCATCCACGGGCGCCCGAGGCCAACAATGTGCCATCAGCCCATCCATTTGGATGAACGGAATGGACGAGGATGACATCGCCTTGGTTAATGGCTACTGTGATGGAAGACTCGTCCGTCGACGATGATGAGACGGTCGAGGTCGGGTTGTAGTGATAAAAGGCGCGAAGATAGTTGTGAAATTGGGGTTGTTGTAGTTGTTGTTGCTGTGATTGCTGCGGGGCCATGGCCTCGGTCGAACACTTTGGGGTCAATGGAGGCGACATGTGTTTTTGCGAGTGGCTTCCAAGAGTGCCCCTTGAGGAGGACTGTCGACTATGGCCGCGGATAGCTGTACGTGAGCGTGACCTGCTAGGTGACTTGTGAATGTTCAAGGGTGCAACGAGTGCACTGGATCGCTTGTCCATGTCTTCTTGCTCGTGGTTGGGGGACGCCATGTCAAAAGCGAGACGAAATGGTCCTAGGAAAGGTCGCTAACTAGGCGCTGTACGTGTATACATGTGTAGCTAGCATTTGGTAGACGAGCCTGGTGTATGTAAAACGAGAGGTGTGGAACTGTGGTAGTGTGCTTCTTGTTGACGGGTTACTAAAATGTTGGATAGATGCAGGAATGAGGAACGACGACAATGGTGTGAGGAGAGCCCAAGCAGGCAAGTGGAGCAGGAGATGGGGGGTGGGGGCAAACGGAAAGTGACATACCCGATGTGACGGCAGCTAGCGCGCTGTGAAAGTGAAGAAGGAGAGGATGGAGCAGAGCGTGACAGATGTTGCAGTGAAAGAAAATGGGTGGGCGAATGGGCCAGTGTTGTTGATGTTTGCCGGGAAAATGGCAATAGTGAATTAGGCGGGCGGATAGAAAGCTGGGACGGGGTGTGTTTCCGGGACACAGAAGATGGCACAGGGCAATTGTGGGTAGAAGGGTGGAAGGAGCGAGTAGTAGAAGAAGAAGCTCAGACACGGTCTGTCTCTCGTCGAGGCGTGCAGGCGTTTGAGAGGGGGGTGTGGTTGCTGTGGAGGGGCAGGAGCCAGTGCTTTGAGAGAGGGTGTAGGGCTCTATCTTGTAATGGCGATTGCGGCGCGGAGCAGGAAAGAAGCAGAGGATTAGGATTGCAAGGGTCGGCCTGGCTGTCGAGGTTGTTTGCAGGGGAGGGCTGGGGCGGCGGCGGCTCCTTCCAACGGTTCGTTTGCGAGGCAGGCGCACTGCAGGCCAGGGAAGGAGCGACTGGAAAAGAAAGCAAGAGCACGGGGGCGGATGGAGTAGCGCAGGCAGGAGCGGCCGGTGGGGGTTGCAATTGGCACTGCGGCAGGGAGAGGCTGCAGAGGCGGAGAGTCGTCGAGGCTGGACAGACTGGCTGGGCGTGTGTTATTATCACATCACGATGGAATCCTTGGGCCAGGCTGGTGCTGCTGTGCAAAAAGATTCATGAATAGCAGGACAGGGGTGGACTGTCAGTGGTGCAGGGGTGCTTGGCCAGGGTCAAGGAGCGTTGGCGGGCGGCGGCGTCGCTCCCCATGCCCTGCGAGTGCACGGCGTGAAGCTGATTCGCGGCGCGGCGGCCGTGCGGTGCTAGGGGAGCAGCCCGTGGGTTGTCCCCGGCATTTCTCCCTGGCATTTGCACTGGCACTGGCGCTGGTGCTGCGGTGCTTTGGCCGTCGACGTTGGGGGACACTGCTCTCTGCTACTACTCACTATGCATCCACACCACACACTCACACCCCCCCATTCACCCAGCCGACGACCCTCCGGGCTGGGATAGCGACACCATGCACGCACCCCCATCCATCCACACCCACTCACCCACCCATCATCATCACCACCACCACCAATACCACGTCCACATCTGCTCCCGCGACTGACTCCCACGCCCAGTCCCACGCCCGCCTTCACCACCACTACCACCCGCGGCGGCAGTGACGGGCTTGGGCGCGCAGCGTACAATAGCGCAAGAGGCCCAAATCCACTGCTGCCGCCCGCTAGCATCGCTGGTGGCCGTCGTGTGAACCAAATCTCCGCCAGCAACGGTACTACGCGTCTGGCGTCGCCTCCGCCCTCGTCCCCCCATGCGTGGTGCGGTGCTGTGACGTGCCCGTCGCACGCCCAGCCCTCGACGTGCAACGCGCACACGCTCACGCACAATCGGGTGCGGTGGCTTGCATCAAGGCCCCGCTTAGCGCAGGGCACATGTGCAGACGCGACCGAGGGCCTGCAGCAACAGGCCTGCCCAAAGCCCCACTGCGAATCCACTCCCCCAGTCGCAGACTCGAGGGCCTGGAATGGCAGCAGGAGCCTGCACTTACAGCCCAGAGCTAAGATCATCCCGCGCCGAATGCGCCCCCTCTATGCCCGAGATGGCAATTTCCGGCGGCCCACGCTCCCCGGTTGCCACGGCCGTTGCTCCATCCCATCCACGTTCATCGCGACCACATGGCTGTCCTGTACATAGTAGTACGCCCTCTAGTATAGCACTGCTGCTCCTGCTCCTGCTACTACTGCTGTCCTCGATTCCCCGGCCGGCCCGATGGCACGCGAGCATACCAACTGGCGGCATGGCGTCGGCACCATGCGCCTTGCTACTGCTGCAACTGCTGTAACTGCAACTGCTAGAGCCCTGCTACTGCAGGGCTACCATTCTCTTACTGCTCTTGGTCCTGCTTCTAAGCTGCCACACGATATATAATGCCGTCCGCGCACACGTCATGCTCGACCCGGCATCCTATGCTCCAGATCCCGGCAACCCACTAGCATCAATGCGTCTTCTCGCAGTACTTGGAGCAACATACTAGTACCGTGACGACGCTGACCATCCTGCAGTCCACGACGCCCATTGGGCAGTATTTCCCTGTATTACTACGCTTCATGGTGGCTCTCAAAACTATCCTGCCAAGAATCAACCCATTTTGATGTCGTATCCATACCATACTAACGGGCCCAACAACTAAACTTTCGCATGCTTCAACCCTGTTACATAATACTAATGATCACTGCACTGTTCAATCCACTTAACAGCATGCCGGCAATAGCCTAACTTTGCTCCACCCACAGTATAATGCAAAATCGCGTCGTCATCCAAAAACCTTCCGATAGCCGGACGTGTGAGATTTAACCTAAACTCACACTACTATACATATGTACCATAGGCTGCGCCTGCAAATAACCTGCGACATGGCCGACCAAGAAAAGTGTTGACAACTCTCTCGGCATCATCATGACGACGCTATGCTCCTCGCGTCCATCTCCGAGTAAAAATCTACGTTCGACGGACTCTTCTCCGTTCGTATATCGCTAGATGTCTCTCTATCTTGCTTCCCCCACAGCCTGTAGAGAATCTACCCGCAACCCGACTTGCTTTTACGAGCTGCAAACTTGATCAACAATGCATGCTAGCGCTATTCGCAATGCAGGTACTTACAGCTACACCCCAGCCTCATTCTACATCTCGCTATTGTAACCCGTATCCGACCTCTGCAACGTACGGCACTAGCCAGTCGCTCAACAATTGCCCCACTGCCCTACTTGGCAGCCAATATGCCATTCAACGCCACGGCTTTGGATCGGCAATATGCAACACAGTGTCTTTACACGCTCCGCCCACCGGGGTAAAACAAATGACATTTAGTGTCACTTGATGTGTCTTTCCTAAACCACAGCCCAGATGCCTCATTGGCCTACCGGCGCTTCTTGAGGCTGGTAGCACATGACAGTCAAGCATATTTCAAATGCCATGCTGGCGATCTTGACACCCGACATAGCCCGGTTGATAATCAGGAACCAAAGTAGTATTGTATCGTAGTACGCCACAAAAGAGGTCCAGTTTCCGTGTAGTAGACAAAGATCGTCGTCAAGGCGCGCTGATCTCCTCCCTCTGTGGATATGGGGGCTAGTGCAAGTGCCCCTATCTCTCTGAAGGGCTTTGATCGACCTACTTTTGAGACGCATGGCACAAAGTGGTAACCCACTCCCGCTCGTCGTTTAACAGCAACGACATTTCGCCATCATAAACCTCTTCCAATGAGCCAGTAACCAGCCAATTTGACCTCGTATTGCGAACTCATTGCGAACTCATCGTGCGGGTATCTCATTGGCCGAAGCTAGCGACCCGTAGCGCGACTGCTATGAAAGCTACCAGCCGCGGGCACGCGTTAGCTGCCGGCACTCGCATCGCCGACTTCATTGCCGATGGCTGCACAATTCGTGTGAGCCAAGTTGTTACTCTAGATTTATCGGCATACAATACTTACTTACTGCCATCCGCCAATCGAGTTAACGTACATTTCAATATTCTCATGCTCGGCACAGGGTTTTTACTAGGCGAACGCAATGTGCTAGAACCCAGACTCTTCGTCAGCCAACTTGCACTTCTGTGGACCTCGATCTCCGCCGTATGGCTGTGCCATATCTTGTGTGCATGCAAGGCCGACGACGACCCGAGGGCGCGGGCCGGATTGTGGGTCTTCCAATGAACGGAGCCTACTCTACTCCGACGCAATATTACCGAGGCTTGGGCACTGATATCTCCCTGCCCATGGTGACAGAGCGTCATGTGAACGACTTTGAATGCATGTCTGCGGTACAGTCAGATATCTTTTCTCCGAGGAGTGTTCCATGTGCCGCAGCCTATGCTGTTTCCAAGCTCTTATGCGCTCTGTTGCGTAATGAGGCGTTCGTCTCCGAAGCAGTGCTGGTTGTAGTTTTCCTGTTACAGTGTCATGAAGAGTCCATCATTGCGCGACATACTTCACTGGCACTCGTCTCCAAGACAAGGCTCTATAGGCAATACAGACCCCAGCAGTAACAAAACAATATTCTATATATGTATACGGCAAGAATCTCGGGTTTGAGATATATGTGCCATCCTCGCTGAGGTATTAAGTGGTCATCAAAGCCAAGGTGCTATTTTCGCAACGTTCCACTGGCTCAACAGGCGACTAATTCCAGGGTCCAGGCCAATTCCGACTCTTTACCGCGCTCCAAGGGATCGTCCTAAGCGACTCTCACGACGCTACCCATACCTATGTATGTGCTTAGCTTTCAACCTCTTCTCGCATCACTCAGGCTCTGTCCTGCATCTCATCGAGCCTCCCGGCTTCCGCGTGCCGCCTCTCTTCCCTGCTACAACGATGGCGTTAAAGTCGATCCTCGGTTGCAGTGCCCGCCTCTACACCAGCCCTGCTGAACATGGCTGATCTCCACTCCACATCTCGGAAGAGCATCCGGCTCTGTCTACTTGAAACTATCTTGTCAATCGATACGAGAGCCATTGCTCTTCATCATAGCTTCAGTGCAGTTACGAGAGGCAGTTTTTTTTCTTCTCCATGTTGCAGATGCCGTGCTTTCGCATGATGACAAATTTCATGCCACAATGTGCCTTTGCTGCGGCGTAGTTGCCAAAGCCCCTCAGCCAGCCCTTTCATTAAGCATCTGAATATTTGCAAAGTGGAACTTGCATCACGGATCCACTATCGTGTCGGCTATCGACTCAATACAAAGAATATATGATGATAGTAGCTGACTATAAACGCCACAATCCAACAGAAAGCAATACGAACACTTTGGCACATGTCGTGTCACAGTGTACCTGCATACACGCATACATAGGTGCTGACAGGAGTCATTTGTAAAATGACGTCCGGTATTTTCGACTCGGCCAGTATGCAACTTCCGATCTCTGATGCCCCGCCTTCAACCGACAAGAAGTTTGCACGATTCTGCCCATAATTTGGCAAGCACAACAACAAATACATCATTAATCACAATGGCAACAAGTCCTGTCTACATGTCGTTTTTTAGACCAACCATTCAGAATCACCTGTACATACTCATGGCTCTGATGATACCCTGCTTCCCATATCATCCGTTTACCAGGTCGACGTTTCACCATTCCCAATTGAGCCGGTAATGAGGATGCCCTCCGTCTCTCCGCCATTCGCGGAAAATCATTATCGCTGCCAACACCTTTCGAGTAGACGACGAAGCAACCTCGAATTTCGGGACCTACCCACATGTTCGAACGCGGCATATGTAGCTGGTATCAGATCATTCTCAAGGCGTATGGGATCTGTCTCACATTCTTCCTTTTCCTGGACTAAACCTGCTCAAAATGGCAAGATAGCTGGACAACGTCGATAGCTGCTATTGCCACCCTGGTAGGTTATTGCAGACGGAGAAAGTGCAAGAGCATGGGATGGGGAAGCTAAATCCTGATCTGCGGTGGGGATTGCACTTTTGGTGTTGAAGCATTTCCTTTAGTTGAGCCGCTTGGGAGGAGAAAGAAAGAGCACACTTTACCGCACGGTATCATGAGTAATTGGTTGCGACAAAAGCAAACATGTGATCTGCTGGGTAAACGGTCAAGGATTTATTTTTCTGGTCGTAGGTGCATGCATATCCTTTTTTTCTTTCGGAGCTTGGCTATGCGCAGCAATCTGCTTTTGGAAAGAAGCAATACGTCGCAATGCCGGGCCGATATGCAAGAACCGCTGCAAAGGTGCGCTCGACTCCACAGCATCACCTGAACGATTGACTTTGTTTTGTCCAGATCTTTCGATTCTTCGTCGTCTCCTGCCCAACGCGATGTAACTTTGATTGCACCATCGGTCAAGTTTCAGAAACGCAGTACAAAAGCAATCTTGAGTCCATCCGGCCCCACCCATAGCACACTGCATTTCAAACTCTAAGTCTTCTGTATCAACCCTCCGAGTCTATTACAAAAAAGTTGATATGTGAAGGATCTTGTGTCGTTCCTGTAGTATCACTCGTCCGCGGACTTAGGATGAATAATCCAAAGACAAGAGAATCACGACAGTTTTCTTCACTGCATGCAGTTGTCATCATGGCAGTTATCCTCATACACAGACTGCAGCAGTTGTCTTAGACATACCAGGACCTTCCCTGTTTGTCAGAGTAGAGCTGTAACAACTCGATTACTGGTTAAGGAACCGCAACTACTTGCCGAATTAGCTACTGTACCTACCCTCTTTAGACCAACACGCAATATCACCAATCAGCTCGCATGACAAAGGCACCATGGTACCTCGCCGACTTCCACACTACAACCCTGGATTGATCTTCCACACAACATATTACAACCTTGACAACTATGCTCCTACGCCGAGTCACAACTCTTGTTTGTATCCCGCGCGTGTGTACTACTCACATACAATTCAACTGCCGTGCAAATGGCTCTCTTTCTAGGGTATCCCAGTCGCGTGTTCTGGCCTTGACTCGAGACACACAGCTCCCCTCGCCATGGCAGCGTCTCGTTTTCAAATCCCAAGTGCCAATGCACAGCCAGTATAGCATCACATTGCATTTACGTTTGCTATCTAGCAACTATATCGCTTGCATCTTGAACTAGGTACCTATATCCCCCCTCATTATATCCAAATCTGCAGCCCTAATCGCTTAGGAAAGGCGATGCCGCTGTCTTACCTATCTCGACTCACAATCCCGGCTTCTGCAAACCCACACGACTCACTTGCCTTCCTGTCATATGCAATGGGAAAGATGCGTATGTACTTGTCATAGGAGATTCAGCGTCCCTCATTGCGAATCTTTCACATGACTTGAATATGCCGACACAATAGCTTCGCGTTCCTCATCCCCGGCACGTGAATACCGCAAGAGGCAACAGAACCGTAGTAAAATGCAAAAACAAGTTCAACCAATGAAAAACCCTCCCGAATATGAAATAAAATCAAGGCTGCTTTCCGATGCAAGCATATCATTTTTCGATCCCTCCCTAGGATCTTCCTTTCCACGTTCGTGCGCCCAGCTCGCAGCTGGGAACACCGGACATGACTGCCACCTAACCAGAGAGAGCGGAATAGCGGGTGTGAGACGGAAAGAGAATGAGCACCCTCGCCCGTTGCGAGTTACCGTACTTTTACTACCGGTGGCCCCAACAAAGTTACCGTGTTGGATGCTTATTCAACCCTTGATCATCGACATCAGACCATGGACCATGGCCTTAGCCACGCGTCAGACGGGATCGCTGATGGGGTTGCCGCTGTGTGCACAGCGGTCAAGGGTTCGCACATGGTGGCGAGTCAGTCCACCTTTGACCTGACAAGGGATATGCTTGCTGGGTGTGGGTTACTTACCTTGCTGGAAGCCGACCGTGCGATATATCGATAAGGGTGGACTATCGTGTTGGTTTGCTATCGCGTATGACCAGCGAGTAGCTAAGTGAGTAATAGAGAGAGTGTGCAGGTTCTTGGGTGACTTGATAACATGACACTAGGTGTGTACTTACGACACTCAACCATTAGTATCATGACCACTACTACCAACCTCATACGAACATACTTTATCCTCCCACTCTGTATACCTATTTCGTACAAAACTTCCCTCATTTTTCCATCGTCCACGTCCATCATCACATCCCCCCACCTCCTGCTTCTCTCCTCAATGCGCGCGGCAGGATCAATCACAAACACACCGAAATATCACCGATGGCGTCCCACTCTGTACATTGATTGTCGGCTGGAAACTTCTTGGGATCGACAAGCCTCCTTGTCCGCATCCACATCCACATCCACGTGGATTTCTTCGCCCACTGGTCTCTCGCGCCTCGCCTCGTCTCGCCTGGGTCTCGCCTCGCGTCCCCTAACCCTCCCCGAGTACTTTGGCCTCGTTACGACTCAACCGCCTTAGCCCTGCAACGCAGCTATAGGCAATACCACATATGAACTTTAATTCTTGCGCACACATGGTTCGAGAACCTTGCCGCGCCGGGCATGTACATGTCTGTGTATACAGACGTACACATATATATACGTGTGTGTGCGTAAAGTTTGCCATGCCATTCCTTGGCTTGTACTTGAGCGACTGTGCCTTCCTTCCTCACTTTCCGTTACGATTCGAGATTGCAGTACACGCACACATACACGCACGCACTTGTTCTCTATGTCTCACTAAGAAGAAAAGAGATTAGATTATGGCCGTCCGTGTTCTCAGCGCGGGAAGGTACGTAAAACGATGTTTGCACTATCGCCGCCACATCCGCCACTGCAACGCCAAACTCGTGGAGACAAAGTCTATGTCATGATATTTTTCTTCTTATCTCTTTCACTTTGGATAGGATGGCAAACTCGGTATTGCTGCAATGAACCATAGTCGATGCTTGACCCGTTCATTCCAGCTGAAATCGATGCCCCTCGTATCACTTACCCATCTGACCACCGGATACATACATGCGAACCCAAAGCGACCATCGACGTTTTGATATTCCGCCAGACACGTCCGCATCATATCAGGCGTAGGCGCTGACAAGAAAGTTCACGAGAGACATCAACATGCAAAACAAACTCCATCCACTCTGTCGGCAAGCCCGTCTGACTGTCTATATCATATCAAGATATAGTTTGAAACAGGATAAAGTGGTGTTGTAAGCTTATGTGCATGGTGGACAGCCCGCCTCCCTCAAGGGCTGAAGAGGACCAAAGTTAGTAAAGTTAAATAGATTGTTAATATCTCTTCCTGTTCGAGACGAGTTTCCATTGCCGTAGGCTCGATATTACCAGCCGTTTATTTTTAGACAAATCCGGGGAAGGAGAATGTTAACGCCTCAAAGCTCGTGAATGAATTGACATTCGATAGTCTCACTCAGAAAAAAAGAAAGTAACATCAGTGCACTATTTGGCGTTTGGTATGTTCAATACGAATATGCCGTCGTACATGCGCCGCACCCTCGTGTCACCCTCTTGGCAACCTCACAACTCAACTCTACAAGACTTTAAAAAAAAACGAATTAAAAAAAATCTAGACCCACAAAAAATAAACCACGACGGATACACCACCCAAACCCGGAAATCTACGCAACTAACACGGAGCCCAGAAACCCCGTTTCTCGGCTCCAAATACTCAAAAACCCAACACCCCGAGTTTTACTTACTACTTATCCTAGCGCTGACAAGACCACGGATGCATGTGTCTCCAACACACTTTTACCTCGTCCTTCCTTCCCTAACCCTCGCACACGATGACGCGAACACAAGAAAACCGCTGATCCGCGGGGGTGCACCCCCGAAACTGGCCGTATCCATGTCCTGCAGAACTTCCGAAGCTGTCTTACTTGACTACCTCGGAAAGTTGGGAACAAGGGGGAACGGACGGAAACGGGGCAGTTTTTGCGCACATCACATCCAAACCATTCGAGCATGGTATGACACTTTTTTTTTCCTGTATGTATGTCTGGGTTGGATAGTTAATAGTTGTGGTACTTAATCCTCTTTGGCTCGCCTCCAGCTCCGTTGTCTCCGGTGTGGTGCGTGGTCCGTCCGACTGATGGGTAGGGGGGCAAGGGGGTAACACCTTTTACTTTAGAGGCTGAGCAACGCACGCACGTACACGAAAAAAAGAGACCCACTCTTTTCCGCCTCCAACTTGCCCGGTTCGGCGATATTTAACTTGCATGAGTCGCAGAATATTATGAGCTTGTCTTGTCTGAGTATCAGGGTTCTTAATTGGGGGAGGGGGCCCAGAGAGAGAGAGAGAGAGAGGGAGATGGGACATGCCCATGTGGATAATCGGGTGTGCGTTTTCAGCCGTTGGTCCCTCGGTCAGTGTTATGTGCCCGCGTCGTTTGTGGGTCTTCGTCAGCGAACATGCTTGTGGGTGCCCGCTGCTGGGGGGGCATTGACGTGCTGCGTGTCAGACACGGGTCCCTTGGTGGGATGTTGGATAAATTACATTTTGGTTGTGAGGGGTCCGTTGGCTATGAATTGACGGGCCATTGGCCTCATTTTTTTATTTCTCATTGCTATGAAGACTACGCTCGTTCCGTGCTTTCCGCTCCGGCTTGTGTTACATACATTCAAGAGATTATGACGTTTCTCATGGAACGAGTTGCTTGGTCATACAATAGTTGTACGTATGTGCAACATCCAGCGTAGCTCTTTTTGGTGTGTGGGCCGAGATTTTTTGCTGCAGATCATCAATGGTCGCGACTTCGTGCTCTGGATCCAGTCGTTCGACCAAAGACATAGCGCCCCCTCATGTGATCTTTTCTGTTGTTTGAACCATCTCGTCTTCGCCGAGCTATTTACTATGCATCCTGTATGAATGCATTGCTGAGCATTCGACATTCGGTCGCGTCGTCGATGCCGAAGGATTGATGTCAGATATCAGACGAGATCGCCGAAGATATTCGACCTTGATAGCGCATTAACAAGGCCCACGAGCGTTTGTGTAGGCCAGTACTCAGCATGGCGTTAGGTTGCTATTTGCCTCCTCAAGTATCTGTTAAGTCGGCCTTCATTGCATGTCCATTTCGTCGTCATCGTAGTCGGCCGCGCCCGAGTATCCATTCTCCAGCTCTTCTCGATCTCGGTCTTTGCGCTGTTGTTCTCGTGAAGCGGCGATTTTCCTGCTCCAGGTTAGCGAAATAGCACTATCGAGACACAATAGTGTACAAACCTTAACCCATCAATCACTCCAGTAATGAATGATCTGCCCTCTCCTATCTCCATACCCCCAACACCATTCATCTTGAAGCCACCTCCTGCATCTAGCACCTCCACTCCGCTTCTTAGCTTTGCCATGCGTACTTCCCTAAGTCCTCTTAATAGTTTTCGCACGTTGTCTGGGTCTTCAAAATCATCTGAGGCTGTCTCCAACAGCATCTCGCCTAGCTCGAGCCAGTGGTAAGGCAAAGCATCTGGTGCTCCATCTGCTGTCGAGTTGGACAAGAAGGGTGGAGATATGGGGAGGGTATTGTTCGATGGTTGTGGAGGTAGTCGTGGAGGTGGAGAGAAGGTCTCTGCATGGTCTGTTTCGTGCTCGAGGATTGCGGTAAGAGAGTGGGTATTCAGCCATGGTGGAGGAAGGATGTTTGCGCGTCGTTGGCGTTTGAGCAACAAGGCGAGCCAGAGAGGCACATTGGCTCTATGAGGAGGATTCAGAGGTCTTATAGGTCCCTATGTATTAATTAATACCATGACACCATACGGGACACAGTGGGAGAGGGTTAGTGGTGGGGTGTTGGAGGGGCATACGCACCCCAAGAAGCTCAAGACCCTCGAGTCTTTGACGGGGTATGATGGTGACGAGCTCCATTTCACACAGGAATGCAATCTCTGGGGGCGTCAGCCCCGGCGGGAGAGGCAATGCCATGTTGCGACGCGTTGCCTTGCACCTTGGATTGCTGTCCTGGCTGAGTGAAGACGCGCCGCGGAAACTCGCCGTCTTAGGACTAGCTCGCTCAGGAACGTTTCCATACCAATTGATCTCACCGATACTCTCACTTCTCCCTGTGACCTTCTTTTTTTGCACCTTAAGCAGAGAGACCACCAATGGCTTCTTTACTTGAAGTGTGGTCCCTGCCAGGTGCCCTCATATTCATCGTTTGTCTTACTGTCAATTGGACCGAATATGTGTCAAGTCGAGTGCCAAAGCCCTACCTTGTGAGTCTGCATTCTGGTGTGACAACAGACTACTGACGATTTCAGGACGAATTTTTTCATGTTCCACAGGCCCAGAAGTACTGTGAGGGGGACTACTCATGGGACCCAAAGATTACCACCCCACCAGGCCTGTACGATGAACTTGCGCAACCATCATGGGCAGATGAACTTACCGTTGGCTTAGATATCTGGTATCAAAACTCTTCAACCCTTTGTTAGGCTGTGAAACACGGTTCTTACGTATGCAAAATACTGTTGCTTTATGCGCTATTCTTCCCATGAGCTACCTCATCCTACGCATACTACGGGCGTGCAACAATCCAAGTAAACCCTCCACTAAGGACTCGACTCTCTTTACCGATGTTCACTCTGCCGTCAACATCGCCCTCTTTCCTCCACTCTTCTTCTTCTCTGGACTTTACTACACGGATGTAATGTCTACTCTGGTCGTATTATTCGCATACACTACACACCTGGCCAGCCCGCCATCATCTTTAAGCCCCTTGCTTGCTGTCAGTGTTCTTTTATCTGGAATCCTCGCCCTATTCTTTCGACAAACAAATATTTTCTGGGTTGCTGTCTTTCCGGCTGGTCTTGCCGTCGTAAACGCTCTGAAGGCTGATGGGCCCTCGACTGCCTCGAAGTCCAAAGACGTTACAGAGATTCTACGGGATAGTTGGGCTACAGGAAGGATTATTGATCCCCCAGTGCAGGATGCTAACGTTCAAGGTGAGCGAACCTGTACTTGCTCGACATATATTATTGCGACTAATGATTGATAGATGTCATCATCTTCGTGGCATCCGTTGTAGTCGCTGCTCTTAGCAAGCCTTTACTTGTAATCAAGATCGCTATGCCGTACGCAATTATTTTAGCCCTCTTCGCCGGCTTCGTTGTTTGGAATGGCAGTGTTGTTCTAGGTAAGTCCTCACAATGCATGCCAAATTCAAAAAAGCTTACGTCAATAGGCGATAAATCCGCACATACAGCTACGATAAACATGCCACAAATGCTGTACATCTGGCCATACTTTGCGTTCTTCTCCATCCCACTTCTGGTAGGACCATTTCTTAGGCTCGTCGTTCCAGTGCTACCAAAACAGATCCAGACTACCTGCGACAAAGCCATGAACACTTCTACTTATAGACTCCCATCCCTCCTCGCATCCAGCATGTTTGTTACCTGGGCTTTACTCGCAGTCCACTTCAACACCATTATTCACCCCTATACCTTGGCCGACAACCGACACTACGTATTTTATGTGTTCAAGATCCTCCGGCTTTACCCAGCATTGAGATATATCGCAGTGCCGGTCTACTTCATCTGCGCATGGTCCATCATCAATGCTCTTGCAACGCCGAGAAGAGCTACCCATTCAGGCAGTGAAAGCATGCTAAAGGACAAAGGCAAAGCTGGTTCTCCCCCAATCTCGGCAGATAATCAATCCTGTCCCGTCAGCTTCGTCGTTATATGGCTGGCTGCGACTACTTTATCCGTAGTCACAGCCCCTCTGGTCGAGCCACGGTACTTTATCATTCCCTGGGTCATCTGGCGGTTGCATGTTGCACGTCACACAACCCCAAACACTGAAGCATCACCGTCGTCATCGACTTGGAAATCGATAGTCGATGTACGCATGGTTTTGGAAACCATCTGGCTGCTTGCTATCAACCTGGCCGTATCGTACGTCTTCTTGAACTGGACATTTACATGGCCCAATGAGCCTGGTAATCTGCAGCGCTTCATCTGGTAGACCTGTCATATGTCTATGTACCAAACGCATGTCGATTGGGCAGCACCCAGGTGGTATGTTGTGACACCGGAGAAATACATATCTGGTGACGGATTAAGTTGAAATAATGGATAAACACATATTTGGGACAAAGGAAAATAGGGCCCGCCATGTGGTCCTAGAGATATGACAAAATACACTCCCATTGATGCATATTAATACAAAAATCCACAACAACTCAGACTCCATTTGAACAACCAAAAGAAACGCCCATCTCTTTTTTTTCTGGTCCAAACTCCCTTTGTCTCCGACAAATCTTACAGAACAGTGCATGGTCCAACGAACCGGTCATGGTTTTCCTCATTCTCTGACGCGTCATTCATTTTCTGACACGATATTCTCGGTGCACCCGTAGACTTCCGCCCAAGATGGCATATATCCTCGATGCTTTAGTTACAGCACCCTAGTGCTTGCTGTGCTCATCGCTTCCCATGGTCAACCTCAGGACGAAGTTGACAATGACGGCAGCGAACAGAGCGATGGTGAGGACGGTGGGACCCAGCCTGTCATCGAAGCCGCCCTGGCCCCTCATCCTTATGCTCCTCGCGCGCCAGTGGAAGGTAAAGAGGGCGTAAATCATGGCCATCATGGCAACAAGGGTGAAGAGGCCCGCGGAGATTTTTCCAATCTTGTCGCCAAAGTTAAGGAGGCCGATTGCGAGGCCGCCGAGGATGACGGTAAAGTTGAGCCATGAGAGGAAGGTACGCTCGTTGGCGAAGAAGACCTTGGGCTCGACGCGAGTGGGGAGCGCGATGCGCTTGCCTGCGAGAAGATTGTTAGAGAGGCGCTATGGATCAAAAGTTGGTTGGCGAGGACGCGAGCTTACCCGGCGCGGTCTGAAGGAGTGGTTGGGTAGACATGACGAAAGTGGATGATGTAGTGCGCTACTGGTATATCGCAACAGAGAGAGCTTGTCTTGGGTTTCGTGTACGCGGTCTGGGTGTCAATGGGCGGGTGTCGCACAAAGCAAAAGTCTGCGCAGCTCGAGTAGTTTCAGTCGAGAAGAAGAAAGAGGCGAGAAGAGTGGAAACGTGCGTCAGAAAGCACCAGAGCTTGTCTTTCGTTGCGGGTCGCGATGAACCCAGTAACAGACCCATGCCTCGAAGCAAAGCACGGCACTGCAGCCAATGGCGAGCCAGCATGTGCCCATGTGATAGTGACAGAATACGCGTTGCTGATTGGCTGGCGCCGTCGGTGTCGGGGCACAGCTGGGGCGGTGCGGCAGCTGCAAGGGCAGGCCGCAAGAAAGCAACCACGTCGGCATCCGGGCACTGACCTCGACGCTAGCTCTGCCAAACACGTAAACACCACTTATCGCAGCCTCATCACGCACCACTCTGCTATAGCCTCAGGCCCTGCCAATTCCGCCCTTCTGCACATCCTCTACCTGCATTCCTACCAGCAACGTCCCCATCACCACCATGGCTGTCAGTATTCCCTGGTACGAGAACAGCGCAGAGCATCTTGCTAATAGACAGCCACAGTCTCATTCACCGCTCCCCACCGACGACCTCCAGCAGATTGCCAAAACAGTAAGCACTATCTCAAAACATGCCATCCTAGGCATCTGAGGCATCAAAGACTGACAGTTGCAAATAGGCCTGTGAGCAAGCTGTTGGAGCCGCAACATCATACGACCACACCAAAGTAGGAGACTGGAACAGCGAGATTATTGTAGGTTCATCCTCAGGCGATGCAGCCCTCGATACACAATGGCTAACTCACATCCCTCTCCAGCAATACATTCTCAAGACCCTCATCAGCAAAACCACGCCCGCCGCAGACTCGTCAAACCCAGATGCTCCTTCGCAACCCGCCTACAAGTACATTGCCAACAGCACAGTGATTCAACACCACGGCAACTCGCCTGCAGAAATCGAGAAGCAGGGCCGCCGTGGCATGCACAGCGCCGTTGGTGCCTTCTGGAACAACGAGAAGGACGGAACATACACGTACAAGTGGGAGGCTGCCGACAGCAAGGGCATGGACATTGTCATCACCATCACCTGGATCGCCATCTAGAAGGCAAATCATAGAAAGCGTCATGACAAGAATCGGTGGGCAAGGTTGCGTTTTCCCAGCGGAAGATGAGCTTTGCTGGAATCACCGGCTGTCCCAAAAACAAGGGGGTGACTAAAGTTGCTGGTTGCCCGCCTGACTTGGATACGCTGTCCGAGTGCTGTTTCCTTCTACATCTGCTTTTCTTCATGGCTAGTGGCGTTGAAAAGCTCAAGGCAGCGAAATTGATACCTATTACCTTTGATTGTCCGTGCCTTTTGTGAGTGAACAGTCGGTGGTTCTACCTCGTCGTATTGCACAGTCCAACAACAGATCCTCTCGTACCGTGTCGTGTCATACCGTGCGTGTCAAAGTGGAGCCCAGCGGGCACCTGCATGAATGACGTGCGTCGAGTGTTTGAATATGGTATGTATTTGTGTGTAAATAGTCATCTTCTCGTTCCTTTATTCGCATCGACATCATCATGGCCACATGCATTCCGCACTCTAAATCCATCATCCCTCCACCTATCCCAGCCGAGGAAGCGCAGTGCAACCCATACACACACAAGAACATCAGCCATCCAGGCACAATCAAAGAGGTATATCAAAGCACTCACGTGCCAAACAAGATCAACGACAAGGGAAACAAAAAAGCAAACACAGCCAAACAGGTATCATCGAATGGTTTAGGCCTCCGCCTTTGGGCTCTTAGCCTGTGTCCCCACGCCGTCTGTGTGTGCAGAGCTACTCCGTCCACTTGCCGCCTGCTCCCGCTTGTTGATGAGCGCCTTGATTTCATCCGTCGTGCTCTTACCGCCGTTCTTTTCCGTAATGAGGCTCTTCAACCAGGCATTCTCCGTCTGCAGCTGCTCAATCGTGGCTTCGAGCTTGGCTACCTTCTCCTGTGCTTCCTTCTGCGACTGCTCGAGAGCCTGCTCGCGCTGCTTCTTCTTGATGCGGAAGCGGGCGCTTGCGGCTGTGTTGCGGCGGCGCTTGTCTTCTTCTGCGGCGATGCGAGCGTTCTCGTCGAGTGACTGCGGCATCACGGGTGAGACATTATCGAGCTTGCGCTTCTTGGATGCTTGATCGTAGCCTGGTGTGATTGGTGATAGAGATGCGTTGGGTGAGGCGAATCCGGGGGCCAGCGGGTAGTGGTTGGGCTGACCGTGTGCGAGCGGCAGGGCCGGATCAAAGGCGGCATTGGTAGGGAAGTTGGGGAAGTCGGTGAAGGGGAAGTCGCCTACAAGCAGATCGAGGTCAGTCATGGCTCAACAAGATAGACCACCAAGTAGCGTGTGGAGGGCGCAAGGTAAATGTCCCGTCTCACGCAGCCCAGACAGCGTTGCGTGCTTGAAACCATGCTTAGCAGCAGGGCTGCATAGCCATACCGTCCGCTGACTGGCTAATTTGCATAGTGTGGGGGTGACAATGCATGCAACACAGCAGGGCGGGGTTGGAGTCGGCTTGTGTCTCTTCAGCCTGCCATTGGACGGCGTGTTGCAGACCACTATATGGCAGCTGCAACGGCCCTTCCTCGACGAGGGTCCAGCCCATTGCGACAGAAAATGACAATGTGAACAATAGCAACGAGACACACACTTACCATTCAAGTTGAAATCCATGCTTGCGCTCGCGGCAGGTTGAAATCCCTCGGGACTCTTCAATGGCTGTGATGACTGGTTGTCGAGATTGAGATCGAAGTTGCCTGCGTTTCCGAAGTCGACGCTGGGGTGGCGGGCGTTGCTGACGTCGAAGAAGTCGGCGTTGAGGAAGTCAGAGAAGTCTTCTGCTGGCGCTGGATCGGCGAGCAGGTCCTGCTGAGGCGATGGCTGGTTGAGCGTCGCGATGTACTGGGACACGTTGGGCCCTCGCTGCCCCTTGTAGGATGACATGAGCGTTTTATCGTGTTTCCAGTCGAAATGGAGATGGGGAGGATGAAGTTGCAAGAGTCTATGATCGGTACAACTGGGGGTGGGCTTCGGAAGGGGGGGGTTTTTCGACGGCCAAACCCGTGTTGAGGGATAGCGGGTCCGATTACGCTTCTGGCTCCGCTTTGAGCGAAATTGGGCGGCCTTGGGATGATGTTCTTCGCAGTGACCCGCTGGTTCTCGACGTATGCAAAAGTTTCCACAAGAAACTCTCGAAAATGCGCAAAAAGAAAAGAGAGGGCTGTGTGTGAGAGAGAGAGTAGTGGTGACGTTTAATGATTGCCGAAATACGCAGGGCGTTAGAGAACCTCCACACCCCCCCGCGGAGGAATTTCTAGTTACTGTGTTAGGCGGTTGGAAAAATGGGCGCAGCCGGAGTATGGCCGAGAGAACCTCCCCACGTGCGGGTTGGAGCACCACACCTCGGAATTAATCGCGACGCTCGTATATCCAAACCTAAAAGACACATGTACGCAATGGAAGAACACTTTCTTTTCACACTTGCGAGGTCATGTCATATTCTCATACCAACAGGCTTATGCTGCCCTTTGCGCCCTTTCGTTGACTTTTGGATTACTCAGAGCTGTGAATTTGTAATCAACGACCATCGCGCTAACCGCCTACTGATCAGGCGGCCACTCGGTTCCACCCGATTTTTCTCCATCGATTCACGGCGGTAATCCATCGGCAGATTCACATGCAGCAGCGGTATCACCCTGGACCCTTGCACACATTGTAGTATGTGGTTAAAAAAGGGTAGAAATGATCACTTATACGCCCGCCACACCGAAGAACTACCGGATAAGTGCCAGAGTTTGAGCACATTATTTAGATGCATGTACTACACCTACATATAGCAGGGGAGTCAAGAGGACGGGACTCTTCGAATTGCACATGTCTATCGACCTGCTCACGGTGTAGACCGGGTCATTATGACGGCTAGGTACTGCGTTAGGTCTGTTTTCACACCCACTTCTGGAAAGTAACCCATTGTTCTGCAGTAGTAAAATATATTGGTCAGCTTGAAGCTTATGCGGGGCTAACGTCGTATATATATACTGCTTTTGTAGTAGTATGTTGCGTGTTGGAACAAAGCGCTTGCCACACGGCTGTTACGCTACATGATTATCTAAAATCAGCGAGGCACAAACTTTGGCAAAAGCGCTTGAGCTCAGCAGCGTTTCAAAAGTACAGTACGTAGTAGCAGAGAGATGATGGAGCGAATACGTAGTTTGATCATTCTGGTTGTGGTCAAAACCACATACTTGAGAGCTGCTTTATACGCTTCATGATGTGTTCCTGCAGCATGGCTGCGCATGCAGATAATCAAAACGTATGTTTACATATCAGCTCGGAACTTTAAACAATTACAGACACTTGTTCTCTTCAAAGTGTGTTGGTGTGAGTATAGCATTACTTGCGTACATTCTTACACACAACTGAGGACGTCACGTGGCAGCAGGGTTAACGCGTCTGACCGCCTGAGCGCGACTCCCTCCCTGGATATTATCGATAAACGCTTCTACCATCAACAACAATCTTGACCCCTCCCATGCCGACGAGAAAAGCACAGATGCAATGGCTGCCGCCCCGGACTACAAGAATATCCCGCACTCGCACCGTCTACCCGTAAACCACCGCGAAGTCCAGCGCACCTTTACCAAGCTCTCCCGCCAATCGCTCATATCGCTCGCACTACAATGGCTCAGTAAAAAGAATCGTGACTTTTGCAAGCCTTTTCTTCTGGATGAGCGGACGAAAGAAGATGTAGAGGAAATATATGAGCCGGCGCAAAGCTATGAGGTGCTTCAGGAGATCTACAAGCAGCTGGCTGCACGCAAAGGTGGCAGGAGAGAGGTCCTGGATCGCATACTCGAGGGAGATTGGAGACACGGTATATCCATGTACCAACTGGCCACAGCAGAGATACAGTACCTTCTCGATCATCCCAATGCCCTGCGCTGGACAGCGAAGCGCCTCACAAAGATACCGAATGCGCGATTGCCAGTGACAGACATGGAGGTCACAAACGACTCTGACCACCTTCCCCGGTTCCAAGCGCAAACTTTCATGTCGAATCTCGCGAGAGAACTGACACCGCTGATGAAAGCCCACTACCTTATCACACGAATAAAAACTTCACCCATGACAATACTTCGGGTCTATATACACGATTCGCCGTATAGCAACGAGGCATCGCTGGCAGTTGAATCGAGCAATACCGACCAGGCCAAAGCGGTCTTCTTCGTCTGGCCCAATGGCTCGCCTTTTGTATACTCGTCACTGGCAACACTTACTGGCCAGGTCGTTGGTGACGATGGGCGGCATCTTAGGGAGATTGTACAGCAGGCAATACCCAAAGCCTTTTCAAGACCTTCTGCGCGCTACCAATTAACCGGCACCAATTTCACAACCAAGTCGCTTGACGCATTATTGACATATCGTGGGCCTGGTAAAAGCAATGCCGCAGCAGGTGGCTGGAGCATTTTTCAGGATCATAGTTTTAGTCAGAATGCTTTAGACTTTATCACTACGCAAAAAGGCGACAAGCATGACAAGTCTTCAAGTGACAAGGCCAACGCGGAAAAGGCCGTCCCAGGAAGACCCAAGAGACCGTTAGACGAAAAGGAGCCCTCAGAGTCCAAACGGCGGAAAGAGGTGGCTGCTGGCCGGTTTGGTACCTCTGCCCAACCAGACGATGGGCAAGGTCTTGAACGAGTCGAAATTCGGATCGACGACCCGTTCCCAGCCACTTCAAACAATGACAGCAGTACACAAGCTGACGGCGAAACGTCCAATCGTGGAGTTCAAATAGCAAATCGCACACGGCGTGGTCGTCCTTCGCTCCTTGAGAGGACCGAGGAAGATCTGGAGGAGATTGGGAATGGAGAAGGATGGGTGCCTAATGTGCGGATTACGTTTCAAGGCATCCACGTCTTTGCCGGCATGAGGCAATTGGTTGAAGAAGGCATTGTAGACGGCGAAAAGATGCCTGGTTGGATGACTGGCGAGGCAGGCATCACGATAGGATCAGTTAAAGATGGGCGGATACGAAGTAAGGATGGTGTCCCGGGTGTTTGATTGAGTCGTAAAAAGTTCAATGCGCGGCGCTCAAAGGTGTTTTGATATTGGTATACCCATGCGGCTTTTTGCTTTCTCCCTGTGTAGAGACCAACGCAGCGATGTTTCTTTTTCTTTTTCGATAGCCATCTATAAGGCATCGGCCGTCTCCACTATATCTCCCTCTACCCTGAGCTTGGATCGTCTAGGCTTTTCTTTAGGGTGCCCACATCTCTGCAAGTGAGCCTCATGTGGCTTTGCACTTCCGACCCCGAGCCTCTTGTTTCCCGCGTTGAAGCCACGTCATTCAGACCCGCTCGAGCGTCTCTTGGCGTATACGCTCACAAGCCACAGCTAGACCTGTTGGCGGTATAGCCGGAAAACACGGCATGCGCAAAAAGTTTGTAGTATACGCGCGTAAAGGCAAAACGGCGGGTTGATGTCATTGCTGCAGTTGACGCCTCGCGGCCTTGCATCCATTAGGCCTGCTCGCTGCCCCGGATTGGGTGTGGCGTACTTGTGGCTGGTGCACGGGCTATCGTCCCGGGCAAGGGTTGCGCTGCCGGTTTTCCGACTCGACCCAGTAAGGCAGATTTGCAGCACCTCATTGCACATTGAGGGCGAAAACATGGTCATGTGGTCTCGTGTTGCGGTCTACCCGACTTGATCAAAGCGTTTGCGGCTACGTCTGCTGAACCCGTGGGCAGGGGTTAATGTGGGTTATGGGTGTGGGATACCGCGTGTGGTTGGGTTAGACAAGGAGGAATGAACCATTACATGTAAGTCATGTACGCTGTGCGGAAACCCGGTGAGTTAAGTCCTTTTTTTTACTTGCATTTCCCCACCCCAAGACGCTTGGATGTGGTAGGGTTTATGCTTCTGGCGTACGATGAAGGACGATACCGCGGCTTGGCGGATGGGGATGGATGGAGCATATATAGCTTGGGTGATGCCCTGATATTCAGAAGATTTCTTACTGAGTGAATCATCTCACACATAATCTATGCCATACTATCCAACTACTACTACTAGCATTTACTCTACGTCACCGTCATCATCAGAAGAAGAATACTACATACCTTCTCGAGACCAACACCACTACTATCACTGGGACACCAATCAACCACACTCCCTCATCCCCCAACTCAACACCGCAACGACTTTTTCCACGAAATCTCCAACATCCCTGCCGATGACAGACTCCTCGCACCACCAACCCATCGACGCGCGAGCCCTGCACTCCCGCCTCGCTGTCATCGCAAACACCAACACCGAAACCAACGACCATGGATCCACCCAACGACGTCTCCGACCCTCCCTTGATAGCACCAACACACGCCCCTTCACCAAATCTTCCACAATCTCCACCTTCGACTCGCACACGTCGAGCACTTCCTCGCGCCTCCACGCCTTGCCCAACAGCAGACTGCACCCGGAGAGCGTTGGCATCGCCCCTGGTGACTTCAGCAAACCACGCGTCCCCAAGCGAAGTCGCAGACACACTATGGAGAGTAGCAGCAGCAGCACGAGCGGTAGCCATGCAAGGAAGGAACGAGAGGAGCCGGCGCAGTTCAAGTACTATGGGCGCCATGGGAATCAGTGGCTTTTCAATGATTTTAGTGTTACGGGGGCGGTGGCCAAGGGGTTTAGGAGGGTGTTTGGAAATAAGGAGGGGAGGGATTGGTATGAGGATAGGGAGAGGTGAAGGGGGGGTAAGAGGGATGGGGGAAATGGGGATATGTAGAGAATGGGGGAGAATGGATTTTATACATGAAAACTTTTGGTTTTCTTGTGTGCTTCAAGTGATGTTGATGATACGACTTGAGTGATGTGTTAAACTGGATGATTGATGTCTCTCAGGGAACTTCACTCAATTGGGAATTCTAAAGACAGGTGGACGAAACAATAAAGATGGAGACTGTTGCTACGTAAAGATATTCATCATGCCTTTTTTTGCATATATAAGTCCGTATATGTTCACAGTAGAGATATGTTCATGCTGGGGTGTGTATGTGTGTGTCATGCTCGCATGCAAAATCGCCCATTGTTGCGCCGCACTATGCGTTGCCATGTTGGAAAGATTTGCCCAAAGAAAAAAAACCCCCAACGCCGCGCTCGCTTTGGAAAAAAAAGGAAAGCCAATGTTTTGGAGGTCCAAACTACTGGTCGTCATCAATGACCCAGTTGAGAGAATAGCTATGATCTACGCTTAATCTTTTTGTTTCGTTGACAATGTCCATGTCCATGTGTCTATTTGTATGGTAGTAATGTTTGTAGGAAAACGGTCGTCTACAATGGTGGTCGAGTAAAGAAACGGACTCTATCCGCGCTTCCAAAACTCGTATTTCTTCTTTGGTGCTTTTTCGGTTACCGGGACAGCGTCCATCTGGTACGCTTCTTCGTTACCTCTCTTCTTGCCCTTCTTGACGTCTCGTCTCGACGCGCAACAGCAGCAAAGCCCCGTCTGCACAAGCCATGCGAAAATCGCAAAGGCGCTGGCTACCCACATGAAGGCGAATAGTGTTGTCCCAATCTGTGCCCCGATGTTGAGCTCTGACACGCCAGTGATAGTGTTGTGAAAGATGACAAACATGACGGTAGCGATGACCGACGCGACGGTGACGAAGAGGGCGTTGAGGAAGGCGAGAATGGCGACAGGGAGAGTGAGCCAGCGTGTGTAGACGGAGATGGGCATGACGAAGATGAGGACGAAAGAGAGGACAGTTGCGGTCAGGAAGAGACCAAACATCCAGTTGGAGACGAGGTGGATCAGGTCCAAGATGTCGTTGATGTTTGCAGGAAGATTGACTAGTGGACAATGTTAGTTCGCAACCTGACTCGCAACAACGTAGGCCAACTTACTCGACGCTCCCGCAAGCAGCTCGTTACGCAAAATCTCGACGGGGTTGAACCAATACAGGGTCGTCGGCTTGCTGCAAAAGGTTACGCCCTGGCCCTTGTACCCCGAGCAGAAGCCCCATAACCCGACCTGGTAGAAATCATGGAGACCCAGCGTTTGGGCGATGGTGTTGATGAGAGCGAAATTGGGCACGCTAGCGGGTACAATTTTACTCAGGTCGAGGCGAATAAAGTACCAGTTTCTGATGACGGGCTTGTTGCGTACGCCGGCGATATTGACAAGGATGAGGAAGATGAAGGTGAGGAAGAGGAAAAAGGAGGTTGCCAGCGCCCATCTTTTGCGCCTGCGAGTTGCGAGCTTGATTTGCTCTCTACTGAGCTCGGGAACAGGCTCTGCAGGTGTGTTATCTGATGTGCGCTTGCGAGAGAAGAATGGCATGATGATGGTGGAAGGGTTGCAGCAGGTGTGGCGGACGGGTGTGGCGCGTGTAGTGGGAAGGGTGTGTTGACTGCAAAGAGGGAGAACCAGAAAGCACGACGAAACAATGCAAGAAGCCAAAAGGTTGAGGAATGGGGGAAGAGATGGTGAAACCAAGCGGTCAAGTATAGCGAAGCCCAATAAGAAGGCCCAAGAGAAAAGTCGGCCAGGACCAGACACAACCTCATACGCGTGTGCTGCAGCAGCACTGGCGAGTTTTATGGACCCTTTCCGAAGATCTTAAGCCATGACGTACAAGGCGCCAAAAACAGAATTAGACGCAGGCGCGAGCCACACAAGCGTCATGGATTGGGCGGGCTCGACAAGAGAATGGCATGCACTGGTCTCGACACGACAAGACGTTCTGGCTGAAGCACCGGCGTCGACACCTGTTTAGCACTGTCGTGGCCGCGTATGCAAACTACTTAGGGTGCGGTGCACACGCGGCTGGCTCCTCCGGTTGCCCTGGTTTTTTTGGCCCCGAGTAACGTACTACCTAGATACGAGCAGACAATAAAACAAGGGCGGCTCTTTTGTGGCTGTGTCTGCAGCCACATGCAAACAAGGTGCAGTGCAAATAGAGCCTGCAGGTGGCCTGGTAAGACTGGCACTGGCGCAGAGCCGCGTTGATCGTCAGCCTCGTCAAAGGGCCGCGGAAGAGTGCCACGACAGGGGCTAGAAACGCTGCCGACCTTGGCCCTCCCACACCCCAGCATGACATCCACTCAACCAAACAACAATAACATCACCCACATTATTTGTCGTGTACTCTCAATACCCACTTCACACTTCACTCAATAGCAAACAAACCAGTGCACATCCTTGGATTTTTTTTTTCAAATACCTCTTGCTTTCCATTCCTCTATATGTTTTGCTCGAATATTTCACACGTCGACACACGGCCTTGGTCACCGTGCTGTCAATCACCAAGCCACCACTTGCTTCAACTCTCTCCTCCCCAACTGCTGCTTACAAGAATATAAATTAGACATTGGTAACGCCGGTTCCCTCGCTGAATTGCCCTAGAAAATGAGTATAATCTGCCGGTCTGGCAATGACCGCGATGGAGAAATAGTAAACAAAAGAGGCTTTGCATGTCCCTTGTAGCAACAAAGACTAGGAGACGACACTGTGTGTATAGCCAGCGCACGCTATATTTGTCCCACGATACCGATAAGATTTGTCGTGTACACCCAAAATGGCATACTGTCCAAGCAAAAAAGAAACTTGACGTCACAAGCTTTTGGCGTTTGGTACAGGCAACGGGGCCCAAAGCTCTTCCAGCGAGCTGCTCAATGTCGATCATCAACAATGCCCTGCGGCAAGGTCGCCATGTCTTTAGGCACTCTCGACCAAGTTCATCCTGGGCCTCAGTTGCAGAGCAATGTCATCTTTGGTACCCATGATTTCTCGTGGTATCCTGCTGACGCGGTTGGCTCCACTGCGCACTGCAAATCGACCAGCGGCTGAGATGCCAGAGCGGTTCGAGCGGATGGATCCGGCGTCTGAGCCGGCACCGGCAGGGTCGCGGATACGGCCGGGTGGAGCAAAGTCAAGGGCAGTGAAGGTACCAGACTTGCGCATCAGATGGGGACTGGGCAGCACTGGAAGTTCATCATAGGAACCGACAAGTGGCGTGTGTGGGCGAACAGAAGGGCTGTACGGCCTTGCGTTACCAAGAGGACTGTCGGGTCGCATGCCGTTTTGCCTCTCGCGGAAAGAAACTGGTGGCGCAAAGTCCGCAGCATCAAACACCATCGAGTTCTCGTTGAGCTTGGCAGGGGTTGGGAGAGACGAGAGAGCGGCGGGTGGTGGCAGGGGCTTCTTCATTGGTGGGGGTAGACGGCCGCTCATAGACGACATGCCACGAGGGGGTTGGTATTGTGATGAAGCCATGGAGCCGTTGGACATGTGAGGACCGCGTGGACCCGTAGCTGTGTTGCTACGGAATCGAGGAGGTGCGCGAGGTGGAGGAGTCATGGCACGACGAGTAATCGGCTCAGCAAACGGCGCGTTGGGCTGGGCAACGACGAAGTTACCCGTGCGTGGATCAAACACAGTACCGTCCTGGTATTCAGAACCATAGTCCTCGACGTAGTCGGCGTATTGGTGTCCACCAGCAGGTTCGGGCTTGGAGTCGTCAAAGTATTCCTTGTAGAAAGATCGGATACGGTTGGCACGCTCTTCTGGGTTCTCCATGGGGTCTTCAGAGGGCATAGGACGCAGGCTCATTGACAGACGGTTGTTGCTGTGACCAAAGTCATCGACTCCGAGGCCAAGGTTCTGGGGGCCAGTCGAGTATCGGGGCTTGGGCGCTGCAATGGTTGGCTGGTCGCTGTTGCGAGGAGAAGGCGGAGTGATCTCGAAGCCATCGCCGTAGCTGGAAGTGCTGATGATGCTGTGGTGTGTGTTGGCGGTCTCTAGTACAACGGCTTGCGACTGGATACGGGGCAATGAGGGAATCTCGTTCGTGGTCTGGACAGGCGACTTGTTGACTTGCTTCTCGGTGACGGGGGGCTCAGGAATAGAGATGGTCGGGACGTTGGTAGGCTTGGAGGCGACGGGAGCAGCATGGGCAGGGGCGGGAGCAGGAGCGGGAGCGGCAGCAGGGGCTTCAGGTTCATATCGTGGGTTCAGCGGGCTCAGGGGAATTCCTGCCTCGGGAAACTTGCTATCCGGTGACCTGGTACTATCAGGAGACAGAGACTCGCCGCGGACTGGGACGGATGTCGACATTCTTTGCGCATTCTGGAGGAGACCAGCCTGGAGACCTTCCTTCTTTGTTCCTGAGCTGGACGCGGTGTATACGGAGTTGGTTTCGCCCTTGTATGGTCCATGGCTCTGGCTACGAAGGCTCTGGTCATCCCTCAAGAAAGCGACTGGGCCGTAGGGGTCATGGGGGTCGTGCTGCGAGCGCGAAAGCGAGTGGAACGACTCGCGAGAGCCGTGTAGACCAGGGGGCAGAATGTATGGACTTCCAGTTTCAATTGACAGACCGCGGTCGTGACCTCCAGAGATTTCCTTCTCAGAGATGCTCATTTCAGGGCCACCCTTTCTACCCACCTTGGGTGTGACGCCTTCCATACCCCAATCGTGCGATTTGTACTTGTCTCTCTGATCCTCCTCCCTAAGCTTTTGCTTGTTGCGACGATGTAAGAAGGCGAGTACAACAGCGATACCAACGACAGGAACACTAGACATGGTCAGCGGAGTCGGCGAGATGACAGTGTATTACATACACGATAGCTAGTGCAATAGCCAGCATAGGCACCTGGGTTGGCTTTGTGCAGCCGGGCTCGCTGCTGCTTGTGCATTCGATGGTTTCGCGTGCGACAAGAACGGGGTTCGCTCTTTCAATGAGTTGGAGAGTTCGGGTAGCGCCGCTGGAGGGAGATCCCAAGTGGTGTGTGTTGTCGCGCACATGGTGGAGCATGTGTTGGTGATGTGAGTGCGACATGGTTGCAAAGCCCCTGTCTCATACAATATCGTAACCAGGAATGGTAATGATGTACCCGAACGGTTGGTGATGCGTGACGGGGTCGCGGATGCGAGGTAGTTTTGGAGATTTAAAATGTATGTATTAACAACGTAAGGTCGTAAGTCAGTCGTGACTGCTGATCAACGGAGTGTACATGTAATGCGGGTGCGGGTGCGGGTAGGGAGCGAAAGCACGGCAGTAGGCGAAGGCGGTAGCGTAGGGATACGACCAAACGATCTCGAGCCCAAAAAAAGAAAAAAGAATGACTGGGGTAAGATGCAACGGAGCAGCGAGCGTTGGTGTAGAGGGGGAGTACGAGGACTGAAAGAGTGACTGGCCCACGGAGAGGTGAGGTTGAAGGAAAGAAGGCGGATGGGCGCGAAGAGTAGATGAGGCGCCGCACAGGAGCTCGATGGCGGGCGGTGGCATACAGGGAGCCTCATTGGCCCATGTCCCAAGCCGTGCAGGGGGGAGAGGACGTGTTAAGCCGAATAACGAGAGGGACAGCGCAGGGTTCCTGTTCTAGCGCGGGCCAAGCTGTTTGATGTTGCTAATTGCATGCTACACAACCGCTCTTGCGCAGCACGGCCACTGCCCGCGCTGCCTCTGTCGTGGCCGCCTCGTCGCAATCGATAGAAGCCGTCGTCGTACGGGTGGCAGACGGCCTTCTGGCGCCGCACACTCCCCCTAAGCGCATCCAGGAGAAAACCACCGCGACCGTTTGCTCTGGCTGCGTGCTGATCGCTCCATGCGGCGCCTCTACGCCCGATGCGGCGCTGCTAATGCAGGAACCCTTTTAGGCGCCCATCTTGATTGGCCAGTATCCGAGAACAGCAGATTGGCGACTAGGACTGGCCCTGTCCGCTCCAGACCATACAGCACCTCTCGACCCGTCCACAGCCCCCTGAACCCAATTCTGGATCTGCCGTCGCTGTGAATAGCACTGTCATCGTTGCACCCATCAGCGGACGAAGTGCTTATTACCTCCTCCTCCTTCTCTCTGCCTTTGGTCCGCTCTGCCGTTCCATTTTTTGCATGCTTCTCCGCCGCCGCCGCCGCCGCCACCAACACCTGCCGCCTCCGTGAAAATCTGTCCCACTCCTTTTCCCACGGCCCGGCATAGTCCACGCCGGCCTAGGCTGCGGTGCTCCACGCTTTCTTCATTTCCGCTCAGAAAGCGGCCGGGCGCACAGATACGTACTGCACGACATGTGGTGGAGTCGTCCGCTGCTTTCGGGCTATCCCCGATGCCGCTTATCAGTAGTCCACTCATCAAGATTGTGCCTGCTATTCCACCCGCCTATGTAGTAGTATATTGCAATGCCACCCCCTTCTGCCCGTTCACAATGACGCGTCCAGGCACTACCCTCCAGACGCTTATGTATTGCCAACGACTCATGGCGCCTTTTGCACTACTCGTCTGCTGCCAGACAACTGTTGAGGCTGGTGAGCTGCTCAAGGAGCCGCTCATCTCGCTCACCGCCACCCATGATCGCCGTGCAGCATCCCTTCATATCTGTGAAATTACTTGTTCTTTGACAGCTCGCATACTTAGGCTGCTCCCATTTGATCCGCTCATGGTTCCTAGCATAACGAGGCTTCCTTCATCATGGTCCCATTCTTCGCTTGCACGCGGCCTTTCCGATGGGCTGAGCTGAGGTCATTGTTGATGCTGGGGGACCCTCGCCATCATCCGAGTATTGGCACAAGCATCACTACTTATTTACCGCGTCCGTTTATGGCCCCCCGGACTTTTCAATCTGATTTTTCTTCCCCTCACCATTAGGCCGCCAATGCATCTCGGTGGTATACTGCCGTGTGTTTGGCTCTTTTCTATAGCTCATGACCATGATAATCCCAGGCATTGCGCGGGTTTCCCGCGTCTACGCATCTGTACACCCAACGTTCAAGGTTTATACGGCCAACAGGACAGGGCTTTGTATCTTGATATGTATCGTGGATCGAGGGGTAGTGCATCCAGGCCCTAGGGTGCCACGAGATGAAGCAAAGCCACCTCCTGAGTGTCCAAAGGCTTTGAGATCAGGACATTGCTTTGGTTGCAGGTGGAGACGCTCACCGGCTGCACTGTGCGAGTCGGCTTGGCAAACACCGAGTCTTTACATATACGAGCCAATGCAGTGGAATATGAACTTTGATAGCACCAGCTCTTGTGTCCATTGTGCGCATGTATGGAGATTGGTTTTATGCGTACGTGTTTGCAGCAGCGTCATTGGCATTGACCTACTTGTGAAGGTCTACTTGCATCGCCAACACAGAGCGCTCGACACTTCGAGGTCTCGGTTACAGATGTCGGTGCAGCGGTCTCGTCCCAGCCAAATACGTAGTTATGCCGGTGTTCATGTGGCATATTGTGGGGTGAATGTCCGGTCATCCGGTACCGAGTGGCATTGGTCGCGTTGCGAAGTCAGAGGCCTGGCATTGTGCATCGTCATGTTCCAAGGGGGAGGGAGCAAAATCCATTTGGAATGATTGGTGCTGCTTCTTACTTATACTCAGTCGAGGACAGGACGTGTTCTAGGTGGAACCCCGCCAGCACCTTTCCATTGTGACGTTTCCAGACTGACGTTCTGGGCCATGTCGACATTCAACGGTTCCGGTGACTTTGACCCAGACCCTGTGCTTGCGACCAGCCCTGCTTCGCATTGGCCAGAAGTAATTGTGTGGGCAGCGGCCACGATAGCACCCGATGAATCTTTTTGGCCCTGACAGCCCTTCGGCAAGGTGTTCTCGCAGTGCTATTGCGTGCAGCGCAAGCGCGCCAAGTGCGCAGGCTAGGAGATGCGCTGCTGCCATGAATATGCAACGTGACCTAGATCAAGGTGTGGGCTCGTGTGGGCTCCGGTTGGCGTGCATGCTGCACCTCTCGTGGAGAAGACGATGGGAGGGTGACGCGGGCGATCGTGGGCCAATCCCCGGATGCGCAGAGGGAAGGATGAGCCGAAAAAGGTGCCGATTGCTAATGACGCACCAACCAGCCTTCTACCATCACGAGGCAAATCATCGTCAGCCAGCGAAGACGTACATGCACACGACCTTGACCTGGTACCGATAATACCAAACCACACCCCTTCCTTCTTTACTCGTCGCCTCATCCCTGGATCCCATCGCCGATTCTCTGCTCAAATATCGACGTTGGACCCCGTCAGCCTTTCATCCTCAACACGGCAATTCGCGATTCGTTTTGGTCCCTGCGTAGCTTCATAACAATCACCCCGCCTGCTGCCCGCAACACCGCTTCTTCGAGGGTCCCGTTCCCTGAATTCACTTTCAACCCAACATTGCGCACTCCAACAACATGGCCGCCCACCAACGTACTACGTCACCCCGTACTGTGACACCAAGCGCTGGAAGCAGGACAATACAGATCCGTCCTCAGCCCGTCTTGCGCCTGTCTGCTCCATCAGGCGTGCTCCGTCTGCGAGCAGAGCCTACCGAGCGACGACACATTCAGTGGGCAGAGGACGTGGTGGACAACGAAGGCATGGGCAAGAAGTCGTCCAAAGGTACTACAAGCTGCGCCACGTCATTTTTTGCTGCCAGACCCTCTAACATCTGAACCAGTCTGTTGCATCTATCACAAACCTCGCGCTGTGGATGAGTCTTCTGACGACGACTCTTCGGATTCCTCTTCATCGGACTCGGACTCAGATTCCGAACCTGACAACAGTACCGCCAGGCCCGCCGGTAGGATTGGTGCCGCGCGGGGAAGGCGGCCACACCAGCACGACCACGACGGATGCGCAGAAAATCACGGATGTAATGAGGGCTCGGACCAGCCACAAAAAACAAAGAGGCAGCGGAGGAAGCCTAGCCCGAATGCTTACGAGAAGATGCCGAAGCAGAAGAAGTAGACTGTTACAGCGCCTCAATTGATGCGCTCACGGTGCTGCACCTGGCTTCGGCGCATACGAACTGAACACGATTTTCATTGTTTCTGTGGGGTTTGTTTTCGCGCGGAGTTTTGGCATGTCCGATCGGTACAATTTGATTGAGACTGCGTTATTGCATAGCATGGGATATTGGACTTTGGAAGTCTGCAAAACTTGGATGCTAGATTGTAGACGCATTACGGCGTTATGTAACAAGGCCTATACTTGCCAATGAATTCTCAAGCACTTTACAATCTCATATGCAAGCTCACAAACAATTCCCAGTAGCGCTTGTGTTTCAGACCTCCACCATTCCTGCTTCTTCCTTTTTCCTACCTTGGCGGTGACGTCCTTTTTGGCCCTTTACGCATGTCAGGTCCCGTGACTTAGCTCGCTTCCAGCATACCAGCAGGAAAAGCAATCTCAATGGGTGTTGGGCTCGACTGCATATGCACGTATTGGAACATTGCTCGACCACCCTCATACGCCGTGTTCCGCGAATCGGACATCAGTCTCATCTCGAGTCCGATCGTGCACTCATGCCTCACCACACCTCCTTTCACATCCTTCCCACCACATTCTTTAGCGCAGAGACGCCGTGCCAGCACATGTCTACATCCCGTACGCGGATTCACTCCTCTGCATTTGCTGCGTTGGCTTGCTCAATTACCGTGGGCGCGTGCTGAGTGGGAATGCGAACAAGTGTCTGCGGCAGAGGTGGTCCATCTTCCGATTTCTTTTCTACTTCCTCCTCATCCTTTGGCTTTGGCAGTTTTGCTGTCATTGGTCAGACCAAGATAGAATCACGCATACGGCATGGCAACTTACTCGACGCCATATTGATAGCCCTTAATACGTTGTGCCAATTCGACAGTACTGCTGCAACCGCTGCGCCCCAAATGTCAGCCTGACTTCTCCATGATGCTTACCCATTATCCGCATGCGCAAATCCGTAAAAGGGCAATTTAAACATACCTTCTGTGCCATCAGACAATGTCGAGAGCTTGTCAGCTAGCATCTGCATTTGGTCCGCGAGTCCTCCACTAAGAGCTTGCAGGTCTTTCAGGTTCGCAAGTTCGGCTTTCTTTTCCGCGATGCGGGCGAGTAAGACCGGTGATTGCTGTTGTGAGCCCCCCAAAGACTGATTACGCAGGTGCGAAGGGAGAGGGCGTCCAAAATTCGACATTCTATCAGTGAATCGGGTCCAATTCTTTGTTTAATCGTCTTTTGAAGATGTTGTCGTTGCGAAAGAGGTGCGGATATTGTTACAATATGTTGTTCCTGATGTGTAGATATAAGAGCTTCTCTTCTTCGATTGCAGGTTATGGCAAAATTCTACCAGAATATGTCTGGACTGTTTCACAAGACTCACTGTCGTCGACGATGTGTTGCCTGTATGGAGAGGCGCCGTTGCCCCTCTAGTCATGTGATCATGTTTTCGTCTTGCCCATTTCGGTTTAGCCCCTGTTGCTGTGGGCCCGCCGCTCGAGTTGTCAACAAACAGTATGACGAACCGGCAGCCACGACTCACGACGTACAGCATCCCGCCCACCACGACGACGCGATTGTCTCCTAATAATATAGTTACCATCGAAATACCTATCTGCGCAAATGGCGCGACTCAACGAGCCGCCGATAGCAAATCAGCCATCGGCGGAAACCATCGAAGCCGTGAAACGACGCTTTCTCAGACAAAACCGCGAACTGGCAAAGACAAACTCGACCCAATCCATACGTATCCGCAGCCTCGAGAACGATTGCTCGCGACTCCTCGCTGAAAATCTGGCACTGCGCGAGCAGGTGCTCAGCCTTCATAATACAGTCGAGTCGCGTCCAGCTTTCGACCACATCGATGCTGTCAAGCTGCAGCTTGAATCGAAGCTACAGGAACTTGGAGGCTTGGTAGCAAGCCTAACACAGACCAAGAACGGACGCGAGAAAGATGCAGGCAGGCGAAAAAGCCAGCTGCTAGCAAAGAGAAGAAGTGGAGAGGAAAGGCAGTGGAGGAGTGGGTTAGGACTACAAGAAGTCGAGAATGCAATGCTGCCTACAATCACGGAGGACAAATTTTATCCTCGAAGGACCATGGGGTACGTAGATGCTACGTATCTCCACATTGAGTTTTACTAACGTGTATAGTGCGGATGAACTTCAGCAAGTGCTGGAAGACCCTGATAGCCAATCGCCAGATATTGGCCCACCCCCCATATCGCGGTTTGATACCGAGGATCCCATCGGATTTGATCCCAGCCCAGTTGCAGAAGAGCCGCAAGAAGAGACGGTCGAGGATGGCGAGCCGTCGCTTTCGGTCAATCTCGAGACGCGTAAGAAGCGACGAGAGAGTGGGCCAAAGCTCAGCATACGCCGTGTATCCGTTTTTGAGTCTCCGGAAGAAACTGAAGAGGCACCTGCAAAACCTCTACGTACAGGAGCTAAGCGCAAGTTCAGCGTTCAGGAAGACGAGGATACAAATCAAGCCAAGGGCGATGCCTTTAGGTTTTCTCGTCGGAATGCCGCAGAAACTGAGACATCCAACGAAGAACCGAGACTCCCTACCTTGGATCGCCTTCCAGTCCTTTCAGCCAGTAAGCATAGTGATATCTTTCTTATGAGCAAAGCTAATATTGTAGAACCTGTCAACACCGACCCAGTCGTATCACCGAAAAAACAACGCTCTTCAGCTCAAGAAAAACCAGGAAAGCTAGAGAAGCCAACTGCGAAAGCTCGTAGCCGCCCTCGACTGAACATTACCCGGAATAGCACGCCAGACCTCCCTTCTATACCCATACCAGAGCCCGTCCCTACCGCTGATATCATTTTGGACTCCCTACCCCCTAAGACACCAGCTGCAGATGCCATCATTTCTCCACCATCAACCGAACCCTCGACCCAAAGGCCAGAGAACAAAGATACGCCACCACCAGGTGATCTATCTTCAGCCGATCAAACTGGGCAAGCTGGGCGACCGGGACGACGAGCACGTCCCCAGGTTAGCTACAAAGAGCCCAGCCTCAATGTAAAGATGCGACGTCCAGATGCAAAGCTTGTTGATGCAGTGGTTGATCGGCGGACAAGTGTCGAATCTCACAACCCACCTTCGACGGTTGTCAAGCGTGAAGCCAACGGGGAGATTGCCTGGAAGCCCGTGTCTGCAGTGTCTGGAAGAGCAGCTGAGGAAGAGACTGAGGCAGGAAGTCCGCTAAGACAAAAACTGGATAGACGAGATCAGGATTCGAAAGCATCAGCTGAGCCAGAAGAGCAATCAGCTACTTCGAAGGCGATATCCGCACTCATCAACGAAACAAGCACTGCTAAAAGAAAGGTGGCTTCTACAGCTTCAAGATCTACCACAGAGTTAACTGCAGCGAAAGCTGAAGATGTTCCTGTTTCAGCAGACACGATTGCGGTAAAGGTAGAGTCACAGCAGAAGGATAGCCTGGCCGTTTTCGACTTCACGGATTCTCCACCTGCTGAAGCTACAACTAGTCAGCGCACACGCGTCAACGAAGCCGCTAAAGCAGCCCGAAATGCGCGTCGCCATTCCGCTATGCCTGCACCAGGAGCTCCATCCACATCTGAGGAGCGAAGAGCCGAGAGGGAAAAGACAGAAGGCGCACTTCCTTCGCTACACAAGCGTACTGGGAGCGGGACTACAAAAAGTAGTAGCACTTCAAGCTTGGGAAGGAGTTCGAGTACTAACGGTGTGGCCAGGAGCACATCGAATGCTCGAACAATAGACATGAAGGACAAGAAGCTCGCTGTTGCAGGTGGGCTCCCCGATAGCGGTGGCATTAATGGCCCCAAGACAAGGGGGGATGATGCCGTCGAATCAAAAGTGCGGGACAGGGAAAGGGAGACAAGTGCACTACGAGCCGAGCGGGCTGCCAGCAGAAGGAAGAGTATGATGCTTTAATGACCAAAAGAAGTCAGCATGTAAAATGCGGGCATCAATGTGTTATTTGGGTAACAGAATGGCGTTGGTACGGTCTGATCTTAGACTTGGATGATGGCGTTTTTTTCCTTGCGCATATGATACCTAGACCCGCCTCCTGTATGTCGGGATGTTAGTTGCTTGTTCTTGCAGCATGTATATCATTTTCTTTTTTGCTATTCTCTTCAAAAGCTATGAAAGTCTCTGTTTGAGGGGATCTTTGTCATGAAATACATTGCGTTATGGGGTATCTCTGTTTTATCATGATGAAGCAAATGTCCAAATTACTCTTTTTTTCTTTTCTACTTGGCTTTAGATTGTCCAGCAGCTTTGTTGTTCAGCTCCTCGAGCGCATCCATATCGATGATTCTCAACTCTGTCCTCGCCCATAATACCACGAAGCAAATGAGACCGGGCAAGAAGCCTCCGCCCACCATGAACCCCTGGCTCCAGTCTCGTTCTATCCAGACCTCAGACAGAGCGAGGATTCCACATAGCGCCCGATTCACCGTAATAATATTATCCGCAATCGCATCCGCCGTAGTCTCCGAAATATACGGCACAGGCCTCCTCACGCTCTTTTCCGTCGTCTTCTCCCAGCTAGGCGTCTTGTCGTAGATCCCAATCCTGGGTTTATTCTTCGTTTTGCGCGCAGACGCGGCGTTGTTGTTGTTGTCGATTATCGCGCCTTTGTTGGGTGGGAGCGGGAGAAAGTACAGAGTGTATGCTGAGGCGAGGAAACTTGCTATCGCGGCGATGCTGGGGAGGAACGTGGAAAGCGAGAATAGGCGGGGAATGTAGAGGAGGATGGGGAGTAGAGGAAGGACGAGCAGGAAGAGCGTATATTTGTGGGTTGTGGATGTATCGTGTGCGCTTAGGGTTTGGACGAGGGCTGCGCGGTCTATTTGTTTGGTTTTTTTGCAGTTAGTATAGCTGGGTTTGGGATAGGGTGGATGCGGAAGTAAGTGCCTTGTTCATCCATTCCTGCTTCTACGGCATCTTCGTCGTCGGATTCAGAGGGGTACTTGAATGTTTTGCGGAGACGTTGTGTCGCAACGGTTTCGGCGCCTCGGAGCTTTTCCATGTTTTTTTATTGTAGCATGCACGGTGGTATGTAGTGGGTTTGGGGGGAGTAGAAGGACAGAAGAAAGCAAATGGTGGTTTAAATATGCGACAGGAACGAATGCGATTGTGGAGTGCGAAGCGGATTGTGAAATGTGGCAGTTATGCGCAAGGCACCAGTTTGGTTGTTTGGCCTCGGACGAAGCGAATGACGTTTGTGTGGGGGTGGGAACTGGGGATTCCAGACCCTACAGCTAGCGCCAGGCGGCTATTGAGAAACGCAGTAAGATCAGCGATGCCTTTTTTTTTCTTTGCGGGGTTCAGAAGGTTATTCTATGGGATTGTTGATCTTGCGTTCCCCGATCGAATTATGTGATAGGTTGTTGGCTAGTAATAGGGCCCTTTCGTCCGAAGCTAGCTCTTACAGACGCAATGCTCCGACTACCATAATGCCCCACCATAGCCGCGCGCATCTTTAGTGTAAGGTAAGATGCTCATTGTTGTCGAGTTGACATGAGAAATACTGATTCGCGATATTCATTTCTTGTACACCTTGTTCAGATATCCGCTCACCTGTACCACGTCTTTTCTCTCTCTCTTCAACTGCCATGCAGTATGAGGATGAATTTGAATTCAATTACGACTTGCCACAAATTTCTTCCTTACTCTTAAGCATACTGTAAAGTGTTTCAATCCGACACATTTCGTAGTACTCAGAGGCGCTGAACAACAGCAGAAGAGTAACGTGTCATTGTACAAGTCAATGGCTTTTTATAATCGTCACACACGGACCATTCTCATCTTGGTTCTGGTCCGACTACAGACCGCAAACTGAATTACTCCTTCCAGCGAACACCGACTCAACCCCACTCACTCTTTACGATACGGCATTTCCGTTGAGACCAGATACGTAATTACGTCTTCCTACCATCACCTCAACTGACAGCCTCTAGTCGCACGCTTTGATAATACACACAGTCACTCCCCTACCACTCCCCCATTGTGCCTTATACCCCCAATCCATCCACTCAAAACAAGTAAAACCCACCGAATCCCCACCCCCCCTCTTCGGCGTGTTTCTCCCTTTGCTAAGAAGAATCATACTCACATCGGGCATCCCGCCGTCGGGGCGTTTCTGACATTTATCCCGATGATAAACAGCCATCGGCGAGTTCTGCATACATCGACACTGCCTATTCTAGTAACTTGAAAACTTGGAAAATGCGCCGAATGAACACGAATACTGTCATCTCTCAATGCATTGGTGTCGTGCAATTCGGCGGGAAGGGGGGGCTACGCCTAGTGATGGTGTAGAAGGTCGTAGGGAAAGAGGTGAAGGGAAAGTTCCGTTAAAGGTAGACTGCTTCAAATGCGTTGCATGTTCTTTTCTTTTTTTTCTCTCTTTTCGATCACTCAAGGGGCTCTTTTTGTCCCGATAAGTACCAATCCCTTATCCCAATCGGGAATACTCGTTTAAGCCTTTTACCACTCAGCGTTCCACTTCAACATCTCAATTTCGCTCGAACAGTCCAAACATCCGTGGAGACACCAGGCAACCCCCCCCC